TTTTCTCTCATGGGGGAGGCACGTGCTGATTGGAGGTTAAGTAACCTGAAGGTTAGATGGGTACAAAAAAAAGATAACCAGCTGCCCAGATATCGGCTGGGTCAAGGTACAGTTTGGCTAATAATTCTGTGCAGTCGTACTGCAGTGTTGTTCGTTTGCTTTGTCAGTTCTTTTGAGGAAACGTTGTGTGTCTGATAATCTCTTTGAATCCTGTCACATCTGTTATAAATTGCCTTTGAACATCTGTGCAAATGTAAGTGTTGTAATCTATTTCTTTCCCGGGGCGTTGTCACGATCTGTTCCTGCTTCTCCTCAGACAAAGAATAGTCCTAACGCGAGCCACTGCAGCTCCCGTGTCCTCTGTGCTTGCCCTCATCCAGTAGCTGCAGTCCTTGAGGAAAGCAAGGCTTCAGCACTTTAACGGACCGAGCCCCCGCCGAGGACGTCTCTGTGGAAAAGTGGAAAATCCTGATGTAACACCTGATCTTGTTTAAAGACTGCTTGTTGACTAGCATCGACTCATCTGAGTGAGGAGCGGGTCGAGCTCAGACGTTTGGAGGTATTTAACACGCACCGAGGCTGTAATTAAGCCGACGTTAGTTCCCTCAGTTACACAGACGCGATTCCCTGCTACCTCCTAATCCATCTGTTTTCAAAACATCCCATGAATAAACGCTGATGTCTTCCTTCATGATTCATCTCCCTCCACGTCTTTAAAAGAATACGAGCGAATATGCTGTTTCAGCAAAGCAAGATGCAAAAAAATATATATATATATAAATAAATAAAAAGGAAAGAAATCAATGAACTAATAATAATCAGTAAGTCTGGCAGGCTGTTGAGGCTGTTTCATGGACGATTTTGTTCTACAAGAGTCTAAAACGCTGTTTTTCTTTTTTTTTTTCTCCCTTTTTCTTTCCCGTGGTCGTACAAGATAAACAGATTCTATTCTGGTACATATCAGGCATGCATCATCACCCAGATCCTTCCATTATGTTACAGTGCAGTGGAGTCCGCGTGAGTGTTGGATGGTGCGGGAACACTCAGCACAGCCCCCCCCCCACACCACCACCCCCCCGCGTTGCTGCTGACTCACTGTCACAGCCCCTGAATCTGCTGCCTGCCTGCATTATTTACACACTCACCTTCCACTGCTGCTGCCTCCTCAGCACCCACAGCCTGAAACCAGAGGGGGCTGTTTCATCCACGCTGTCTCACCTGCCCGTCCACTTCCACCAGCACAGCTGCTGACTGCGTATCCTGGGAGTTTAATGGCGATAAAAAAAACACGCTTATGCACCTGACAACGGCTCTTTCTCTTGTTCCGTCACGTGATTGACAGGTAATAAATTCCTGCGTATTAAAAAAAAAAAAAAGGCTGACGACAGTCACTTGAAGGTTAATTTTATGACACTTGGTAACATCACTCTGCATAGCAAGTGTTACTTATCTAGTTACGGCTCCTTTTATATACTCATTATCTCATCAGACTGGCACAGTCAGCCAATTCTGGCCAACATGGGCCTAGATTCATTACGTATGCTAAACTGATGCAAAAAGAAATCTGCCTTTTCCCTTATTAGTTTCAATATTAGCATCCTCATTGGCTTTTAACACTGGGCAGCACACATGGAGCCATCTGGAGTTGTGGTTTCCATCTGCTCCGAGCCAGCTTGAAACTCCTAAGATGTGTTTCCTGGTGTTTTTCCACAAACAGCATCAAGCCTCTAAGAATCTCATGCAATACAGGCTGTGAGAAATAAATCTGGAATGTTTATACATTATCCCTTTTGCTGTTGTTATCAAATAAACTCATAAAACCATGCACTTTTTAATATGAATTAAACCATCTTTTTTTTGTGGAGTAAAGAAAACCACTCAAATCTGCATGAAAGTCCAATTTGTATGTAGGTTTTAAAAACCTCATTGAAATAATTTAATGCATGGAAGAATTTGTTCTTGTTCAATAAATTGTGAATTTTAAAAAAAAACATTTCCTTAAAACAGTACTGAGTCTACTTTGCTGTATTATCTGTCTCCGAGTCTGTGATTTCCTTTACAGAAACACGCCCACTTTTAAACCAATATCAGTTGATTAACCAAAGATCAGGCATCCCAATATTAATTTTTGGCATTTAACCTTGTGCAGAGATGTTTCCAGATTCTATGATTATTTTTAATTAATACTTAAGTGAATGAATATTACAATTCTTTTCAATTTTTTTCCTAAGGAACACTAACATGAAGTTGCCCCATAATAACTTTTCCCCCTACATATGGCTCACAAATGCCCTTCTTTAATCCTGACACTGCCTCTCTAGGGTGCTCTTTTTTTGTCATGCAAAGAATTTGAAACAGTTGTTTCAGTATCACTTACAGTTCCATTATTTTATCATGACCATCTCATTTTCTATGTGGTTCTGCTATCAAATCAAAATATTTTAGTCAATGTGGAATGTTTGAGGATATATAATGAAAAAAATATGTCACGAGATATGAATATTTTTTCGCTTCCACAGCATCAAACATTATTTTAAATTAAAAGTTCTTCACCAAGACAACTTTCTTTTTTCGACCAGCTTTGTATGAAATCTTAAATAGCCAAAACGAGCATCGGCTGTCTCCACTTCATGCTGTGAAGCAGCAAATTCTCCTGGTGGGAGTGGACTGTCCTGACTGACCTTTGTTGATGGGTGCCCAGGGTTCACTGAGAAGATTGATGATGCTGAACGTTATGAGGCTTCACAGATTCCAGATGTCCACAAGATTGGGCACCTGTAAGAGTACACAGCCATATGTGGTCAGATTACCTCTCCCCCACCATCATGGAAACAACAAATGAGAGAATATCACCAGGAAAGTGTCCCATCTCCAAAAGAGTTCCAAGTATTCTAAAATAGAACCATTAATTACTAACAGATTGTATTTGCTATATTTGTTTTAACAATTACATTTGTGTGTTTCGTCATGATGTATAAATATTATGTGACATGTTATGAATACCCAAGGTTTGTTCTTTAAACTGCTTTTGAAATTAATTAAATCTGGATCCAAAAGAGAGTACTATCATCTATGAAAGATCATGTCTGATCCTTCTCACCCTGGTCACAAACTTTTGGAAACCCTCCCCTCTGGCAGAAGGTTGAGGACCATCAGGACCAAAAACCTCACGCCATAAAGACAGTTTCTATCCAGCAGCAACCGGCCTCATCATCAATATACACAATGCTACGTTCAGCATTTTCTGGTCTGTCGTTGGACATTCAACATTGCACATTTCAAATGTTCATTTGTACGTTCAGATCTATATTTTTTTTAAAGATTGTGCTTTTTAGTTTTATCATTTCTGTTCTATATTTTTTACTTTTATTCCTACATTGTATGTCCTTTCTTGCTTCTCATAGAAGTGTTGTGCACCAAACACCAAGGCAAATTCCTTGTAAGTGGAAAAACCTACTAGGCAATGAATAAACCTTATTCTGATTGTGATGTTTGTCTGTCTCTGGAGGAAACATAGTTGAGTTGAGCACGTCCAGGAGCAGTGCAGAGTTTGCAGGCCGGATCCTCTGCAGCAGCAGCAGCAGGTATCTTCTGCTGCATTGGCTGGGGGGGGGGGGGAAGAGTGCAGGGCTGCAGACTGAAGGACACCCCCCCGCACGCGCTCTGCTGCCTGCAGTCATAGAGCACGCTGGCAAAAAAATAAAAAAAAGAACAAGCATGATCCTGTCCTCACGCGCGCGGGGGCTGAGGGTTACCTGGGTTTGGGCGCGAGCCCCTCACCTGAGGCGTAAAGGGGAAAATGCGCATGGACCGGACGGTGGCCGTCACCTTGTGTGCTGACTGAAGTTTTGACTGCAGAGCTTTGTCTCCGACATAACGCTCTGCCCTCTCGTGGAGGAGTTTGGAACTGCACACACGCGCACTAAAGTGTATAAATAGACACACACGCATAGGAGTTCTGAGGTGAGCTCTGTAGTACTTTGTGTCCGACGGTAGGCTCGATCAAATCTGCGAGAACAGAACAGCAGACAAACAAGCTCTTGAGTTTTCAGTTTTATTGAAGGTTCATTTTTCCAGACCTGCAGAGGACAGTTGTCTTCCTTTAAGCGCCTCAAAGTTGTGTTTATTTTTTCTTCCTCGCAACATCATGTTAAAACCCACTGTATGACTCTGTGTCGGTTTCTTTTGGATGATTTTGTTCATTTTTCTGTGAATACTGTTAAATAGGGAACAGCGGGGGGGGAAGGAGGAGGGTAAGAGAGAGAAGAGACAGAGCGAACACAGATCAGAATTAAGACTTGTGACGAAAAAAAAAAAAAGGCGGTGGTCGGAGAGGCTGATCTCGAATCGGAAAGGCCGAGGGCTCCTTGATTGATAACTGAAGTACTTGGTATTGTCTGGCAGCACCTACCTTTGTGTTGCACACTCGCATACAGCTGCTGAAGTCACATACAGGGTTGCATATTTTTCAGCAGTCATCGACACTCCCTTTCCAAACACTCAAGCTCCTTTCTATCCTCTATTTTAAGGCCTCGTTTAAGCCCTCGTGGGTTCAACAAAGGGATCTGTTGACCCTTTTTTTTTTTTTCACGCCCTCGGTTGTTTTGATGAATCCTCTTCAATCTAGTCGCTGTCTTGTCTACGTGGTGGCTTGTCCATGTTAGGGCTAGCTATTGTAGGTACCACACAGTGGCACTGTGAGTAAGAGTCTAACCCTCGTGCTCAGGATGTGTGCCATGATCTCCCACAGCCCTGGCTCCCCGTGGTAAGGCGCTGCTCTATCCTCTGATACAGAGGTTCAGCTAAATTCTCCCTCCAGCAGGATGGGGACAGTGGGAGCCCCTCGCTAAAGAGAAAAGTGAGCCAAGTGGCCTCTCAGGCAGGCCATTTGTGTCCCTACCTAACAGGGAGCCCATGCATAGCCGGTGCCCTCTACTCCTCTGTGTCATCTGCATTCGCTCTCTAACCAAATCTCAGCTTTTTTTTTTTCTCGGTTTTGATTCTTTTTTTCTTGTTAAAACCCACTCTCAAAAAAAAAAAAGAAAACGAAAAGAAAAGCTAAGTGCCAACCCTTCTTCTCTCTCTCACCTCACCTGATTCACAACATGGCTGTAAGGTTTAACCGTTTCACAGTCTCCTGTTAAGAGTGGGAAGGATGAGGGTCTTTGGGGCAAAGCTTCAAAGAGCAGATTCACAGCTTGCTTCATTCCTCGGAAACTAATCATGACTTCAACTTTCAAAAACACAAATGTTTTCATGCTTAATCATTAGTTATTTTTTTTTAAGAAAAAGACCTCACTTCTGCTAATTTGTTTCTTTGCCAGTTTGTGGAGTTAACTTGTGTCACCACTGGGCGCTTGATGCTATACCGATTCTTGTGTTCTTAGCTGAGAGTACGCTACACAACGAATCCCACGTCACGCCCAGAACTAGGTCTAAGGAGTGGTGATGGCAGCAGACAAAGGGTACTGAGAACTCGTGTGCCACAAACAAAACAAAAACAAACAGGCCTTCAAAGTAGACACAAAGGAAGGAGGAAGAGAAAAAGAAGAAAGCAAGTTTGTTACTTTGTTAATTTTTCATACTCTGCAGATTGGTGTGTTTCGCTTTGGGGACAGGAAGCGGGGTACAGGATGAGTGGGTATATAGTGGTAGTGGGGGAATGGATGGGGCTCTGCTGCAGTCTGTGTTCAGTGGCGGTCCACGGCGGCACTCTGTAGTAGCTCTGTGGCGGCCTGTGCTGGGGGTCTGAAGGCGGTCTGGAAGCCTGGCGGGGGGGAGTGGAACTGGCTGGCGGGGTTTGCTGTGGGGGGGGGCAGGTAGGGGGCCCAGCCGCTGGCGGCTCTGTGGTGGAGAGGGAGATGGCCGTCCAGGAGGCCGCTGTGAAGGGGTTGGGGAGTGGGCACAGCTGAGCTGGCCGGGCCGTCCATCTCTGTGAGGGCTTGCAGGGACTTAAGCCAGTGTGGAGGGTTGTCGTCCTGGAGACAGTCTAAACTGTTGCCTGTGGAGGCTGGGATGCCTGGAGGGGTGGGGGCGACAGAGAGAGATTACAATGGAGATGAGTAATGACATGGACAAGGAGAAGACTTCAGGCATCAAAGGCTAGCGGGAAGATAGGACAAATTGTGGCATTTGCTGTGACTCTGGTCAGAGGCCTGACATACACTTTCACATTTGGTGGCAAGTGCGACGGGAAACCTCAGCAATTTGAAATTGTGGCATTGATTAGTGGCTGAGTATTCAAGTAAATATGTACGGATGCTGCAGGAGGAGTCCCAAAAATCAAAAGGATCTCATAACTACGCGTTTCCTTTGGTGCTATTTTTATTCCAGGTTTTACCACTTCTTAAAAAAAATAAGGGACTGAGGATTTCAAAGTGGTCCTGATGTTTTTACCGGCCAGGACACTGACTGAATTAAGAAGTGTCCATCTAATGAATAAGGAAATTACGCCAACGATTAAAGCCAGCGTGTTGCTGGAAATGGGAGCAGATGTGACTACCTGTTATAATAGCAGGGTCCATCCAACTGGCTGTGCCGTCCCAGCTCAGGCTGTGCGAGATGCCTGCGGGCCCTGCTGGTCCACCAATGTGGTTAACACTGTTGGAGGATGAGGAGGATGAAGAGGAGGAGGAGTTTGGGAGGCCACCGAAGTTGATATTGATGTTGGGCAGAAGAGCCCGCAGGCCGTCCTGCCACTCTTTCACATTTAAGCCGTCTATAGAGCCACTGTTGTCTACAAAAGAGGAAAAACACAGGTGTTTGGATCTATTACTGCTAGTTAAGGGCGGTGTTTTTGTTTCCTCCTTGTACAAATAATACACCCAAATCAAAACAGCATTCTGAGGCTGGCGATACGGCTCATGTGTTGGGATATCAAACAGCTTCATGAGGTCGCACATTCACTCTCTGCTTTCACATGCACTGCTTCCACTGAACACAGAATGGCGTCAAGGTGACCCAGAGGTGCGGTACCTGAGATGGGGATCCCTCCCAGCCCTGTGCTGTGCTGAGGGGGCAGATTCAGGTCCAGGAAGTTACTGTGTGAGGCAGCACTGATTGAGTGGTTTGAGTGTGTGAGGTTATTTCGCGTGGGGACGCCCATCCATGGATGTCTGGCGGCCGGCTGCTGCTGCTGCTGCTGACTGGCCTGGCTGTTGTGGCTGCCGGGGAAACTGAAGGAGCTGTAGATGGCTCTGTGGAGCTGGGGGTGGCGCGGCAGGCCACTGGGGAAGTGGTGGGAGGTGCTGGGGTTGGAAACTGGCAGGTTGGGAAGGTGGCCGCTTCCCTGAGTCAGTGGCCCAGGGGACGACGGGCTCTGATCTTGCACTGATAACTCCTTCTCTATGAGGTCAGCCAAAGCTTTGCGGGTGACATCGAAGGGATCGAAGCCCAGGTCGTCATCCTGCTGTTTGCTGGACGAGCCGAAACCAAAGGCTGCCTGCCAGTCTGTGGAGGAAGACACTGGTATTGTGTCTGAGGAGATAAGGGAAAAGGTTAGAGGGCCCCAGTGACTCAGAGCTCTTATAGACAATTTATTTATATTTAAATGAATTGTGAAAGAATAACAAACACCAAATGCAAATAAACTAATCTAAACTAATCTATGAAAAGTATGCTCACTGTCAGGTTAGGTATTTACATTAGCAGCGACAGATCAAGTGACACCGTGGACAACTACAGAAAACCCCTCAACCAAAGGCTTTGATTGATGAATACCTGATGTGAAGAGGCTCTGTGGTTCGGGGGTCATGGGCCAGTCAGAACTGCCGCGGGGAGAGCTGGGGAAGGGGGGTAGGCCAGCTGGGAGAGGATTAGGATGTCTGAAGTTACTGTTGTCTGAGAAGAGGGACTGAGACTCAGCTGCCGCCCCCTCAAAGGGTGAGCGAGCTGTGGGGTCCGACATGCTAATGGGCACCACCAGGATGGGCTTGGTTAGACCTGGGGGAGGGGAGGGGGAGTCACTGGTGGGCATCTGCAAAATGACAGAAAGAACAGTAAGATTATTCATAGATTTAAATCATCCCCCATATCTATTTTAACCAGTAAAGCCTGACCCAAGAATGAATGGACAGGAATGTCCATTTAAAAAAATTAAAATGTACTCGTTTAACTATCAAAATAAAATAAAAAGCAAATACATTTTTTTGTATCAAATTGATCATTTATTTTGCCATAAGAAAAAAATGATTCAGGTTTAATTAAGTGGACTTTTTGTTACAACAATATTTTCACTATATGGTCAGAAATCTACTTATCAAATGCCTTACACATAGTATCAAAGGGTTAAAAACAACAACAGTAAATAAAGTTATTTTACCTGTTGCAAAGTCTCTCCGTTCACCATACCGATTGACTCTGCAGGTTTATCACTGGGACTGCAAAAAGAAAGTATAGAAATGTATTACATAAAATGTAGATTAAAAGACGATCTCAGTCCTTCTCCTGAGTCGTGCTCCGTTTTACCTGTTACTGTCACAGTTTGAGGAGAAGGGGGACAAGGCAGTACGCTGGCCGGGACCCAGCTCTGATTCTAGCCCATCTGAATTAATAGCTTCTTGGTCTAGATAGTCTAGCAGTGGAGGAGACTTCCGGTCTTCTGAAAGCCCGTTGGGCAGTTTGCTATGCCCTGACAATGTTGGCCACCCATCTTTACCATTGGTGTTGTTAGTTCTATGCAATCGAGAAGAATTAAAGAAAAATCAACATCTACATAGTGATAAAACAGCATAATAAAAAAAATATATACATAATATAAAACACAACCCACCTCTGTGTTGAGTTGGCTTTACTCTTTGACTTCTCTGTTCCACAGGCTGGAGGTTGTAGAAAGCCAGGGTTAATTTTATAGAGGTCTTGGAGAAGTTTCTGCTCATACTCTTGATGTTTGCCAGCCTGAAAATAATACCAAAGAGAGGAAGAAAGCAAACAAACAAATCAGTTAATAGTCTGTAACCAAAATTCACATTATAGTGAGTACAATAAATAAATCAGAGTTTACCTGCATTTCTTCTTTAGTAAAGCTAGCTGCTTCATCCCCCAATTCATGTAGATACATACAATCAGGTTTGGGACACTGCATACTTTTGAGGAAGTAACTGCAATACTTAGTTGTGCCTAAAGAGGCCTGCAAGAATTAAACAAAACAGTGGCTCAGAGAAAATGATAAGAAACTCTAAAAAAAAACAAATAGAAATGAAAGTCTATTTTTTCTCCATAATGTCTTTCGACAGAATCTACAAATAGAACCTTCTGGTGAGCTTGATACAAACAAATGTTCTAATTACAAGTATACTAAAAAACAACAACCTTGAAACCAACAGTAAAAAAAGCAAAATGCCTCCAGTTAACTTCTCACCTTGAGTGTTCTGCCATCAACGACCACATTGTTCACACATTGTATTGCTCTTAGAGCATCTTCAGAGCGGATGTAAGTGACATAAGCGCTGGCACTGGGCCCCTGGACGATGACCAGAAAATGAAAGAAAGTGTAAGTAAAACGCTCTCTGTGGCTGTCTTTTCTTCCAACTAGGACTTGTTTTCATTACCATCTGATTACATGACAAGTTTATTTATTTATTTATTTTTTTAAAGCCATTCAACATGCAATGCACACACTGTTTTCAGATGGATTCCTTAAATGACTCCACCTCTCACCTGTGAACCTGCATAAGATGTGCTATTGTTGATGACCACTTTGTGAATTTTCCCAAACCTCCCAAAATATTCTGGTCGTTTTAGGACCTGTAAGAGAAAACAAAGCAAATATTAACCACGGCACTCCTATGTTAGAATACCGCAATGTCATTCCCATTAGAGTCAGTTTGGACTTTATCTGTGAGTCAACCACGACCCATCAGCGTCCACCTAAACTATGTCGTTTCCACAACACCGCGCCCAAAAACACCACTGGCTGCTGAACTGGTACAGTTATGTACAGTTGTACTCACCTCCGGGTCGGCGAGTCGTTGTGAGAGCCCAACCACAAACACCAGGTTCCTTTGGACCACTCTGACACTGGCCAGATGTTTTCGGTTTTCTGTCACCTTCTGCTTTTTCTCGTTCTGTTTTTGCTTCTTTTCATTCTTTATCCTTTGGATCTCCTCCTGTGACAGAGGCTTGTACACAGCGGGGTCCTCTGGGTAAGGCTGCAGGGGGAACACAGAAGGAAGTCACAAACTCAGATATCCAATCGGCGAGAACTGACTAGCCTGTTCAACACCATGAGCTGAAGTTCCAGCCTTTTCTCACCTTTCTGCAGGCGGGGCAGAGGCCGTTCTCATCTGTGCGAATGCGGTGCCAACAGAAGCGACAGATCTGGTAGCCGCACGTGCAGGGGAAGAAATTGACGTCATCAATCTCAAGCGGTTCCATGCACAGAGGGCATTCCATAGGGTCGTCCTTCATTTCAGGGCTGTGGGACATCCTACTGCGCAGTGAGGGGGGGTACTGAGGCTTGTCACAGAGTACAGGGCTATGGAATAAAAAATAATACAAAAAAAAAAACATCAGGACATGGCTGAGAACATAGCTGATCCTTTGATGTCATCTCCACAAATTCTTAAGAGAAGGATGGCTTACTTTAGAAAAAAGGAAAAAATGACAAAAAAAAACCCATAAGAATTACCGGTAGTTTAAAAAACTAATTTTCACACCAAAAAAAACAAAACAGCACTGATTAGCTGAAGAAACGTTCTACACAGTAACTGGACTGAAGTTCATGAAATGTGAAGTACAACTTTGAAGAAATACATGGCTTTTTAGAGGAGCTGATTCTTTGGCCACATTAGAGTTGAAAGTTTGTGAGTTTAGGTGCAATATGCCATCACTTTACCATGGTTAATATTTAGTCTGCTGTGGAGAAAATGAGACAGTTTTCATCAGACAAAAGATACTGGTGCATTTTGCAAGTTGAATACGTTAGCTTTTGTCTTTCAACCCTGAGGCTCTCCCAGGACTACGAAAGACATTTGCAACCAATAAAAACGATAACTAATCCAAATGTTATAGTTGGTAGGTAGAAAAATAAAGATTTAATTGTATCGTTCAGTCAAAGCTCTCTGAAAATCCTGAGGCTTTCAGACACTGTTAATAAAACACTTCTGTTTTAAAATAGATTTTAGAAGTATTAATGGATTTCACTGTCAGACATCTTCTTCAAAGGCTGAAATCAAACCTAAATGGGTAAAAGAATAGCTATCATTTTCAAGAATTGTGACTTTTAGCTTATTATTAAACATTAAACAAGTAATACTGATTCACTGCTAGTGTTTTGTGTATTTCTATTTAAAGTTAGTAAAGTTACAGCTACATAAAAAGACACTTGACCACCATCAATTCGCTGCAAATCTGACAGATAAACATGTGAAAGTCATCAGAAATTAAGCTTGGTGCAAATAAGTACACATGCATGTAATGATGTTTGGATTTGCAACTAAATCCATAACGTTACTGTCAACAAATGTCCATCTTCCTTATGAAGATCAGAAGCCATTGGTCACTTAAAATAAAACATTTAAAAAGCATTTGCTATCAGAAACTACTTAAAAAGAAGGGAACATATTTGTGAAAGACATGAGGGGGACAAGAATAATGACGTTTTTACATCTTCCTCTAAGCAGTAACAGGTAAATATGCACTATAGTAAAGATAGCTACAGCCAGGTGATTATGTATTGTTTGCAAGGGTGCAGGTCAAAGGTTCTAATGAGAATGTTTTGTTCTTATTGACAAAATACGGTCAATTATAGAAATGAGAAAAAGCTATTTGAGAACCAAGGCATCACTGGGCCTGGGAAACATGTGTCACACTTTAAAAGACGGTCAAAACGGATTAGGCTAAAATAAATATTTTAACCCCCATAAGTAGTGGACTTCAGAAGAACTTTGTGTATTCCTTTTTGCAGGCTGTACTTCAGACCTTTACAAAACAAGCAAAAAAACAGAACTACTGACAGTTAAGTGTTAATGCGGGTGTTGAGCATCTTTCGTGACTTGACAGCTTGACACGTCATGATGGACGTTAGGAGGAAATAGAAAAAGTGTGTTTATTTATAAATGTAAAACGTGTTAATGGCAGTTACACAGCACCCTAACTTCTTCGTGACAACAACACTGTCAGGTTATGCACTCCGTAACAAACCCAGTCTGCTTAAAACTAACAGGGCAAAGTTATATTAGACGAAACGCTAGCGTTTCATATGCTTAGAAGGATTCAGCTAATAAACTGACGTTTCGAGGAGTGCCACCGTCTCGCTGCTTTACCCGAACCATCACTGGCAAAAGTAGCATACGAAGCGAGAATACCTAGATAGTCCGGACTAGTAACTTTAGCTGCTCTGTCAGACATTGGCTCTGTTTCTTCTGGATCATACGTTATGACAGATGTTATTTGACTAACGTTGAGCTAAAGCTAACATTAGCTACGAATTGGTTGAAGAAGCCGGTCTCACTATTGGCACATATCCAGATCAAACGTAAATGTAATTACAAAACAATGTCAAAATGGATGCAATCTTAATGCTGTCATTAGTTGATGAGAATACACAACCATTGCGTTGCAATGCAAAAAAGTGACAGTTTGGTTGATGCTAATCACTTAGCTTGCCTGCTACATCATCACCAGAATGTACGAGGTTTTGGAGCCGAGTTTACGGCGCGGCCTAAACAAGCTAATGCTGAACTGGAAGCAAGTTGTTGACACTATGGACAAATGACACTGCACTAAAGGCATTTAAATAATCCGGACAGTGGTTAATTAGTGTTGGCAAAAACATTCAGTAAGTGAAGAAGCTCTAAACAGACACGCCAGTTCTTTATTTACTTAGGTAGGAAGAATCCCGACTTGCCCGGCTAGCGACTTGGCTAACGTTAGCGTTACTTACCCTGTCCGTATTTAGCTTAGGATTCCTGTCCAAAGGAGTCACACCAAATTGGGCGGGGACTGCCAGCCAATGTACCTGAAATGTCAAAAATTCTATAAATGGGATCTTAAGATAACAGCAGTCGTGTTGTTCTGTTATATTTAAAAGGCTATAAAGATGTTTTGCCCCTTTCTTTCCTTGGTATTGTTGAGACAAATTACGCTCTAACCACCATCTTAGCTAGCATTATAGTGGGGAGGAGGGAGTGGGCAAATATTCAATACAACTGAGTCTGCGCAGATGGACACATGTCTTATGGGAGATAGAGTTTGTCTACTAAAATAGCCTTACTACGTTGTACTTCAACGAAAATCTCGATCGTGTTTATTCCAGCATATCCGTGGAAGGATTTGGTTCTGTACTTCATGTAAATTGAGATCATTTATCATCTGAACGACACAAAGCGTAATACAAATATATTTTTCATCTGGCTAACCATGGGCTTCACAGTCTCTTTGCACACGAAAAAAAACAACACTAATTTTCGAGCTTGACTAAATTATCGTGTGAAATAAAGCTGACTGACTTATCTTGAGGAAACCTAAATGCGACTTCTCAGTTTAGGAAAAATGTAATTTTATTAATTTTAATCCAATACAACTATCAAGAGAAAACACACGAGGGCCAATGTGGGATTCAGTATATTGCAGAGGAGAACTTGAACATGCTAACTGTGACGTTGGATATCCAACAAGCAATCTTCCAATCGTATAACAACCAGGAAGTGCTAGTTTCCAACTTTTTACAAGAAGATAAGATTTGTTACTTGGACATCTCAACAATAATCAACGTGTGTACTTGTGGTGAAGCAATAACATTGAAAAACTGCAGACACATCAATTCTTGCTTCCGAACATATAATTCTACACAGTGTATTTAGAAGCATTTGAAGTCATGCAACAACAATCCAACAATGTCATCAGGGAAAAAATACACATTATATGGACTTGTTAGACAAACGCATGTCATTAGTCACATTGTCATGAGATTAGACTTGAATATCAACCATAAAAGTTCTAATTAAACCAAAGCAAGCTTGGCTTTGGCCATGCCTGTATTTGAACTTTGTTGGGATCCACAGAGTCTAAAGTCAGCTTTGGGGAGATGGGATGAGTGGATGCTAAGGACATCTTGGCAGCGAGGAGACCCATGCGAACACAGCTGTCCGTGTCTTTCCCGTGGAAAATCCCTGCCATTAAGGCACCTGCAAGACTGCAGCGAAAACCAATGAAAGAAAATAGGTCATGGTACATAAAAAGTGGATGACACTGTGGTTTTGAAAGTGTCCAGTTAAACTAAACAACACATATAAGAGAAAGTAGGTTGAATAAATGTCCAGCACCTATCTCCTGCTCCTGACACATTCATAGTCTCCTCTGAGGTCACAGCCAAAGCGGGGTAGTGCAAAGCACACAGCTGCCTATTCTGGAACTACAAATGCAGCACAAATGATTTTATCACTTACCGTTGAGTAATTATTGTTATAACATTATTAGTGCTATTTACATGAGGATAGCACGTACCCCTTTATGTTTTCTGGGTTTAAGGACGACAGAGCCTGCATGGTGCTCTCCACAAAGCAGCACGCCATTGGGGCCAAGTGTCACCACTAGACAGTGAAGATGCTCCAGAAGAGGGCGTGAGAGAGCCACAGCGAGACTCACAATGTCCTCAAGATCGATTGGTAGCGCTGCCACAAGATTAACCACATCCTCAAATACTATCACATGATTTGCCTTCTTAAGAAAAAAGGGCAAACGGTTACAACTGTGGGAGCTGTTTGACTTCATAAATGATGAGCAAGGAAAAAAAAGAAAGAGAGTATTAGATTACATTCCCATGTATGAAACGCTTTACCTTCGGGTGTTGTGACACCCAGAGTCTTATTCATCATGCAGAGCTCGGTCAGGTTTGGGGATGAGTAGGACAGAGACTTCCAGGCATCTGACATGAAAGGCTTACAGGCCTTTTCTGCATCTGTTGGTTCATACCAAACTGAGACACAAGGAGAGCATGAAGTTAAGACCAATATTATCTCCTGTTCATCATTCGCAGTTAAGTCCTCATGCTTACCATTTATGTTGTGCTTTTTGGCAAGAGAACAAACATAATTGATGGTGGAGACAGGGATGTTACCATCAAGACACACAAGAGCGGCTGATGAAAGCTGCCTCTCAAACAATGACACCTGTAAAAAGATAAGAAGTGTTATTCAAAGCATGTTGTAGCTGAAGTCTCTCTACATGATTCTATGAGGTTTTTTTTGCTGTATGAAGGCACATAACGTGAGATCATCTGTCCCTGTTTGATATGTCTGAATTATGACAGAAAAGCAGTGGTGATTTGGGAGTTTTTTTTATTTTACTGTGTGATATAAGTGTAATATTAACTGTGCACTCACACATTAAAAATACTACGCTCAAACTGATTGTTATTTGTTCACAGCTTTCTTTTAGTTTTTTCCTGTTAACATTAAAAAAAGACAGAGCACTAGAAGAACATTTGGTAAGCTGTAAAAAACATATATTCATAAACTGGTATTAATACATGAATCATGGATTTGTATAGATTATCTAGCAAAACTCTGCCTCCCTGTGGTGATTGTAGGAAGTTAGACAATCCAATGACTACTCAATGATTACAGCTCTAAATATGGCGCTACCAAAATATAGGTGCTATAATCTGGCCAATAGTCCGTTGTCTCCCTGTAGAACTTACATATTGAGCTGTGATATGCTGGTGAATGTCCATATCTCCCAGTCCAAGACTCAGCTCTCCACTCTCAGTGATAACAGCGCAGTAGGTCGCTGTGCTCTGCTGTTCCAGCCTGGCCACACCACTAGTGTTCTTAGCAAAAACGTAGAAAAGACTCTTTTTTTTCATGTTTAAGTAACATCATTTTACCACTTTGGGCTTTTTCCACTAGTCCCTGCTCAGCATAGCTCGGCCCCACTCTACTCATTTTTTTGTCGTTGCCTCTTACAGTTTTGGCCCCCTACACGGCCTGAGTCGGGCCAACTGCAGACTGCCAGTCGCTGATTAGCCAAGGTGTCACATGACTTGAAGACTCATTAAAGCAACTTTTCCAAAGAACCCCACCTAGTTCAAATAAATGCAGCAACACCAAACATGTAATTAAAGTATTTATGTGGTCACCAATGTTTGAAATGCCTTACACATGAACCTGTTCATAACGATTGGTATGTCGCTGCTGCAACATTGTTTGTGTCAAATAGATGTTACACAACAAGCCATACTTCTTTTTGTTAAGACCTAATTTGCAATGGAAGAACAAGCTAACCAAGTCTTGGTGAGGTGATTAGAGCTAAGCAGGGCTGCGTAGGTACTCATGGAAAACCCCCAATTGTTTAGTAACAGCCAACTGTTGAATGCGTACATACCATATGCTTACAGGAGTTGAACACCGCATCACTGTTAGCATCAGCTCCAGTGGCCGAGATGAACAAAGGTTTATGGCCTAATCTACTCAGAGAATCTTGAAAAAAGCCCGGAATAACTGTTAGAGAAGAAATGAACTGATCAAAATGTACGCAAATGTGATCAGATAAAAAGAAAAACCAACCAGCAATGTTCCGTCCCACACCACCAAATGATTGACAAACACTTCCTGGGTTAGTCTGTCCAAACTGAAAGAGATAAAAAACATTCAGTCTGGTTCGTCTAGTCTGCAGAATTGAGCAAAAATGCATGTTGCCAAGGAAACTCACATGTAATATTTCTGATTTCCCTTTAGCGATAAAATCAACATTTATTCCTCCAATGACAACCTAAAACAGGATAAAATCATAGTTTTGAGACCCTGTTTTGTTTGTGTGTCACTGGTGTATGTAACCATGTGAAATGATTTTTTTTATACTCACAACATCTGATTCTGAGTCTGAGTCTGTTTGGAGTCCAAGATGATGGGTTTGAGTTTTCGATGCTCTTTCATTTGTTAGTTTAGACAGTTCACAGGCTATCTGACTGCCAACTTTAGCATTATTATGAATTAGAGCAATGTCTTAAAACATGATATGTTAAGGGCAATAGCAGAGGATACAGCAGTATATAATCTTGGTATTTGTGTGACATTTTTTTATCTAAAGGATACTTGCCTGAAGGGACTTTCCCTGGGTCAACTCATTGACCTTTTGAAGAATGAACGGTGTCACATCTCTGCCCGTGATACTTTGAGAACTGAGGATATATAGATGATATTAGCCATCCAGATATAACATTTCCTGTTATGTCACTGTGCTGCATAATTAAGAAACCAGATCGGGCTTATGTGTGGTTGTTCAGTACAGCGATACCTCGCCTCAGTCAGTGCAGCCTGTATGGCTTCCTCTACCTGCTGGCCTACTGCAGCATGCTCTTCTGGGATAGGTACTGCCATGAGGACACCACTTTGGAGACCCAGTGACAAAGTGGTTGCTGAATGAAAAAAAAGCAGGCAGAGTGAGAAATAAAACATATTAACAAGGATCCCTGGCTATTAGTTGCCTTGACTGTTGCAATAGCATCCTAACAGACCTTCCAACCTGTGTGGTAAAACCATTGCAGATGGTCCAGAACGCCTGGTCTGGTCTTCAACCCCTCTAAAAGGATACAATACCCCTTTGTTCATGAAGCTGTACTGGCTAGCTGCTCAGGTCAAATAGAAATCACTGATGTTAGCCCAAGTCTGCCCCCACCTATAATAATACTCTTATTAAAACCCGGTTTAACCCTTGGATCCTTCGTTCCCCTAACGAACACCATCTGGTTTTGCCATTCCCACAACATAAGCACTCCAAACTATTCTCTCATCTTTGTCTTCCTTCTCCTTTTAAATGGCTATCTAAAATAAAATATGTCCGTACGGATAAAAGTGTCTGCTGAATCCCTAAATATTAATGTAAACCAGGAATACGCATGCAGGGAGACTCTGATTTACCAATACTCTATGCTGAATATACTGCATACTATCAGCTTAGAAAAATGACATGGTGATTTAGGGCAAACAAACAATACGTTTTGAGGGTAATAAATGCTGATCTACCAATTAGTTTTGCAGCTTCACAGGGGTTGCAGACATGATATGGAGAGGTGAATCCACTGTGCGGGGAGAAGAAAGCTGGGAAATTCTTTGACGCTCCAAAAGTGGCTACACACACACCCTGAGTTTCCTATTTTGTAGATGCATAGTAGGAAAAATAAAGCCTGGTTAAGGGAAATTTTATTTCAAATCACACTTCTCCACCAGTATAAACAGTGCTAATAGACCCTTTCTTACAAGGAACTCCAGGGTGCGACCAATGTCCAAAATAGATTTGACTCCAGCAGAGACAACAGCAATCGGAGTCCGGCCAAGCTCTGTTAGATCAGCGCTGATGTCTAGGCCTAAAAAGATTACGACACTCATCAGATCACACCAATCCTTTGTAGGACTTCACAAAAAAAGTTCTCAAAAATAACAAAACAGACAATAGACAGTGGACTCAATATTATGCAGTAAGACCTTTCACAGCATGAATGATATATCATGAGATATTTTCCTTCTTAATCAGTCTGTAAGTCAACTTCCCTGGCTTTTTGTGAACAAGACTAATCTAATGTTTGATCAGCCTGATGTTTCTTAAAGCTCTTCAAATACCTTTTGCGAGAGCATATAAAAACAATCCAATGGATTTCAGTACGTGTGGGGCAATTTCCAACAAGAAAAAGTCAGCTCACTGTTCTGTCCGCCTCTGTGAACTCCTCCAATGCCCCCTGTGACAAAAACTGGGATCCCAGCTATGTGCGCTGCTATCATCGTGGCTGACACTGTTGTTCCTCCAGAGAGACCCTGAAATTTGACATGCACATACGGTAGTAAAAAGAGCAAAAAAGACAGCAAAACACAGCATCCTGACAACAATTCATGTAAATCCTAGTCTCAATCCCCAAACCACTGACCCTCACCCTCTTTTTGTGAGGTTTTGTTTAGGTATGATGTCCTGTTTGCTTTAAACACTGAGAAATGGTGATTATCTGGCTCTTCAAACATTGCATGGAGGGACATTTAGAGGACAGAATGTGCTCTAGGCAGGAAAACAAAGGGGAATGGCTCAGTGGTGGGACTGGGATTGAGCTAAACACTGAGATCTTTGTTAGACTTGGGCTTGATTGGAGAATGGCAGTCTCACTTTGCTGATGACATAAGGCAGGTCACGCCGCGACACCTTCAGGGGGCTCTTGCATTGGGCGAGGTAGTCGAGCTCATCTGACGACAGTCCGACACGGATCTCCCCCTCGATCACACCGACTGTGGCTGGAGTTGCTCCTTCGGCTCGCACAATGGCCTCCACCCTCTTCGCTGTGCTGGATGGAAAGAACCGCCCGTTTCAATTTCTTAATTCAAACATTACACTCTTGTATCAGAATTTGATTCGAAAAAACCTTCCAATGCACCTCAGGTTGTGTGGATATGGCATGCCATGTGTGATTATAGTGCTCTCCAGGGCAACCACTGGCTTGTTGTCTGCCAATGCCCGAGACACAGATGGGTTAACCTTGAAGGCAAAATCTGAGAAAAGAGGAAATAATTACCATTAGTATCATGAGACTGTTATGAGCTGAGGTAACTATATGATTTCTAATGTAAAAGGAAAAAGGAGGTGTATTCACCCTTACTGCAGAGTGTATTAAGTTTTCTTCTCTGGATGAGTGTAAAGGCTCTCTTCAGGATCCTCATTCTTTTTGGATTTGTGGGAGACCCTGATAACATATATTCTTTGAATAAAGCAGCACCAACAGCTTTGGACTTCTTCCGTCCAGTGATCTACAGACAAGTTCGGGTTGCCATTTCCAAAACTACAAGATGTGCTGATAATAATGTTTAAAAAGATGAAATCCTCTTGTTGTTTAACAAAGAACAAACCCTGCAAACCACCCAGAAAAAAGAAACACCTCGACACTAACTGGTATCAAAATATTTAAATACAACAATATTAAAAACCTAACCATGCAATGAAAGTTGAAGCTTTCAAATTAACTACTACCTTCATTCAGAACACTCAGGAAAACATGAGAAGACTGATTTATTTCCTGGGAAATGTAAAAAAAAGAATGACATTCTATGTTGGCATTTATACTCAGCTTTATGCAAATTTCTAACTCTTATTAAAGTTAAAAACAACTTTACCTCAAGTTCTTAAAGGAAAATGCTTCTATGCCCTCCTGAGTGGGATTGTACCCTGCAGTGGGCTTTATGCCACTACAAGGCACAAGTTCCATTCAACATTGTGGGAATTGTCTTTGCCCCAGTTAGCTGGCAAAAACTCTCCAATCTGTTCCCCTTTGCGGGGCCACTCTAACCCACTCCACCAAAGAGACACACAAATTACAAAGCAGACCTTTCACTCTTCACTTACTTCAGTACATTTAAACAATAAGAACTCCGAGCTGACATGAATTATAATGTAATCTATACATATTTCTGAAGTACAGCACTTTAAATCTTAGATGGAATTCATCATCAGTGAAAGGAATATAACCAAAGAAACATAAACATACATTTAAAGTTCCCACTGAACAATCTAGCCATTTGTGTAAAAAACAACAACAACTATATCTACAATGTTTGGTCAAATTGTTGCTGCTGCCTGATATCAAAGGTCTAAGGCACTTTTTACTTAGTCAAAACCAACTTCTTCACAAAAGAATTAAGTGCTTACCTTCTCCAGTGCAACAAAAAAGTCAGAAACTTTGCACAGAAGGCTGAACTTTGACACAAACACTGTTGACACAGACCACAGAGCTCAGCAGTTTAAACCTCTCTGGAACCTCCACTTTGAAAAACAAAGTGATTTGAAAATGTTAAAAAAAACCTATAAAACAGACAGCAAAACATTTTTGCAAGGTACAGTTTAAAGAACTCGATGTGTGTTTATGAAACCTCCAGCTGATGTCTTGTGGTATAGTCTTCATGTATGTACTAATAATGCGCCTGATGCTTTCTTCATACACACAACAAGCTCTTCCTCATGAAAATCTTTTGGTGACCTAGGTTTAATCTAGGAATTTATAGGCTTCAATAACATATGCGGTACACTGTAATTTACACTTCCAGCAGTTCCTCATACCTCCACATGATTGAGCATTTCAGATGACACAAGCACACCACAAAATCTCAGCTGCTTGTGAACGTTCACTAATTCAGTAAGTGACTTCATCATCCTCACAATCTGAGTATTTCAGTAATTCATCCTCAAACCACTGTGGATGTTCCATCTGGTGTGCGTGGAAGGCCTCTATGGCATCACGTAGGGCTCTACCCGACGGGCACTGATGAAAGCAGTCCCCTGAAAGCCCATCGATTTGTTTCACTCGGCCCGGCTCGTGTTTTTCAATGTCCAGTATTCTGAAAAAGACCTCCTCAAATTGTTTCATCAGCTTGTATCGTACTGTAATGTTGAAAGGGGAAGGAATATCTTCTTCAGAGCAAACGTCCTCAAAGTAAGCCACAATGTACTTTTTGAAAGAGACAGGGCGCATAAAATGCGGGAGGATGAGGGTGAGGGATGGAGTGAGCATGTCACCTACTGGTGAGCATGCATCTTCTCTCAGGAAAACCGGCTTGTCGCCGCACATGGCTCTCCATTTGGCTTGTACCCCACGTGAACAAAGAATTAGTATCTTATCGGAAGAACTCTCTATTTGCCAATCCAACCACTGAACGCTTCCCAAAACTCCCAGTCTGGTGGAATCCAGCAGGTCGAGAACAACTTCTGTGCCGCATTTGGTCACCAGGAAGGCACACAGCTTCAAAACAATGCTTTTGTACAGAGGATGATCAAGGGAGTAGATGATGAGGATTCGCTTTCGCCCTTGAACGTGAAACACTTCTGATTGTTCCTTAGCGCTAGATGTAGATGTGTTTGAAGCATCTGAAAGATGAATTTAATAACTTTTATGTTATTAATCTATTCAAACAGTAGATTCTCATTTGTGTGATTTATTCATAGGATGTCAAACCTTTATGAGATGTTCTCCGCAGCAAAAACACCAGTAAAACACCCAAAACGAGCACCGCTCCAAAGAAAATCTGCATAATGAAGTATTGTGGTGGAAACGGCATCCTCTCTGAAAAGCAACCAAACCAACAACTTCACCATAAACTTAGTGACTACAGAAGTGCATTAAAAATTTGACTAATATTTAGCGTAGACTCACTTTTGCAGGAATCAACTGTTTTTTTCACAATCTCACAGGAATGTTTGCAGCGACTAAAAAACGGCTTGATCTTTGAAAAACACAGAGCAGCTTCAGGTTTTACATTTGATCATCACAAGGAATACTATTAATTCAAATTCTGCAACCAAAATAAAACTCACCATAATGGACATTTCACATTCTGATGACTCAAGCTCGAAAGTCACATTTAGTGATGTGCTGTTTTCCTAACAGTGCACAAAATACAGACAAAACACATTGTTGGCTCAAGTTGGTGAGTGAAATGATTTGTTCAGATCATTTTTGTATTCAGTGTAAATACCTTCAAGATACTTTTTGATAAATTGAAACGAGGGTTTTGAATCAAAACTTGGTATTTCTCAGAATAGTGCGATGACTCAAATGCCACAATAATAGAAAATGTTGGTTTCTCATCAATAAACACATTGATGTTAGGAGTCCACAGACTACCTGAAATAACAACAAAAGAATGACAAAATAAATCAAATTAAATCCACAAACAAACAGCACAAAGCCTTGATCACAGATACGGAAACAGCTGAACTTCAAAAACCTAAAACAGTTTTAAAAATTACCATTTTCTTGACACAGTTGAGTTCTTTGAATTCTCCGGTCGTCACATCCTGACCATGACAGGAAATATAAGAAGCTCAAAAGAAGACATCTCAGATTTAAAGTGTTTGCTTAAAAAACATGTACATTTTGTAATAAATAATTAATTATTTTCAATAACAGAAAAATGTATAGAAAAACACAATATGTTAATATTTGAATAAATGAATGAATAACTGGTTAATAAAAAGTTTGACCAACATTTTTCTTTTTTAAATTGAACAAACATATCATATGATTACTACAATGATCTGAGAGTGACTTACCTGGGATGACAATTTGCTTTTTGATTCTGTAATTTCCAATATGAGGTTCTGGCAAATTAAAAACGGTCACAGTATAGTTATGTCTGGGCTCCACCCCAAAGTCCAAGGAAAAAATCCACTAGTCAATAGAAACAGAAAAAATAGAATGTAAATGTATGTATAATAAACATTGTGTTTCATCAGTAGTGAACAAATGACAAAAGTAAAAACTTGTATTCCCCACATTTGACATCCCATGTGACTTACTATACAAATAAGGAGCAACATTAAAACTACTTAAACTTCTAAACTGTATGGATGTTATCATTGGGTCTTTTTAGACCAGGAGGTACCTTTCAGCAGCTTTAAATTGGTACAAAGTCGGATGGTACTGATTAGCAATCATGTGGCAAGTTTCAGCTATCAGGAGATGAGGCGACAGAAGGGAAACTTTGAATGGTTGGCTATTTAACACAAGCAGTTGCAGAGCAGAGGGGATGTTCCAAGCTGGGAACAATGGAATAACAGTCATACAGGGGGCATGATGGTTTGACTATCTGTGGTACAGACTCAGATGAGAATGAGCTCAAGTTCTTGTCCTGCTTGGCCTGTTTGAGGGACTGGTCATTGGAACTCAAATAGTGCAGAGTAACCATATTTTCTGGGATTACCTCATCTCTTTCCACCTCAGTGCTGCTCCCTACTCCTATCAGATATCATTACAGTTAGGAATTTTCCCAGGGCATTTTCCCCACCCCATTAGAATATTTGAAGACTGTTGTCTTCAACAACTTTATTAGAAGGGAACGCAAAAACGAGAATAAAAGTTATATGGACGAGTATGGGTAAAAAAAACGTAAATTCAAAACAATTAAAGAAATTAAGTCCTACCATTGTATATTCTGGTCTTAGTACTTTTGCAATCCTATAAGAAACCTGCACACAAATGCTATTGTTTGTATTTTCATCCACAATGTTTATCTGTGTTCCACGGATGAGAGAAAAAGATCCTGTAAACAGAAAGTATATATTTTTTTCAACTGTCCAAAAATACACACCACAGACACTAACATCATCAGCTAAAATAGGCAAAACTGAACAGACCTACGGTCACCGTGGTTTTTTTGTGGCACCAGTGACACAACGGATTTGGTATTACTCACCATCAGCCTTTATTTTCCAAACCACGTACATAACAGGATCGTGACCTCTTTTGTCTATTCCGACTTCCTCGTGCATATCATCCCACTGCGGGCCGGTTGGAGCATCCATACGTGGAACTAAAGATTTGCCTGAGCAGTTTTCTGACATGTAGAAGTTTGACATTTGTATGCATTTAACTGTTTACTGTTGCATTTTACTGTTGTATACTTATCTGCTGTGGTGGGGCATAGGCATTAAGTCAAGGACTAAACTATGGAGTGAGATACTACAATACTCAATAATAGTCTTTTATCATTCATTTGATCAGATTAGTCCTACCGAAATAAGAAAGAAAAATACTACGTGTTGAGATTCAAAAGCTGTCACACAACATATGAAAATTAAATTGAGATTACAAAAGGAACAACCGGTAAGGTTCAACACAGGAATCCAACATACTGTTTGATAAAAGGCAGGCAAAAGACACAAAGGAGGGGTATTTCAAGCTTACTAAACTGATTTACTCACGGATGTTGTAGTTATTCAGACCCTGGAAAAACAGAATGAAATGAAAACACACAAAGTGAATTGTGAAGTTGAAACAACTTAAGTAAGACAACTTCTATGATCATCTGCAATGATCAAAAATTTACCTCTAGGTTGTAGTCTCTTACAGGAAGAGATGGAGCTGCAAATCCAATTTTCAGAAAAACACATACAAAAGAAAAGTGGATCATGATTAAATAGATGGTGTGGCTTTTGATTCCAGGTGAAAATGTGCTGAAAGTTTACAGCAAATTAGGTCAAATTGAAACCATGAACTCAGTCTTGAGAGACGATTCTTTTGTGTGAAACAGACTGAAAGCTTCCTGTGATTTAAGTGATATGTTTGGTTTTTATCTGGTGCTACCATCTGAATGCACAGGAAGGAGATGCTTCGCTAATGCGGCAGCCTGTAGCTTCAACTCAGTGAATAGTGCACAAAACTTCAGTTATTGGGTGCTGCAGTATGCATGTATTTTATAGTGTCGAGTGACCCCCAAAGCAAACTAAACATCCTGTAAAGACACTAGGGGGCAGTACAGACATTCAACAAGGATCAGCTGAAAATGTTGACTTTTACATCTGAATTACACGATATTTATATTGTGAATCCCATTTAGACCGGCCCCAGCTGGATATAGACACAGCAGGATGACTGAGTCCTTTGAAAATACCAACTTGGAGAGTTTTCAGGGTGTTATCCCCTCAAACTCCAACTATTCCCTGCTTTGTTTCAAAGGATTACTTTGCATAGGATAGAAATGCAGCCATGGCTATCTCTTAATACCAGTGGCATTGTCTTATATACTGTGGTTCTGACTGCACCCTGAGCTCAGTCATATCCGTTTACACAACACCAAGACAGACAGACAGACAGACAGACAGACGGTGCTGCAGAAATCTGACCAGAATAGACTGTAGGGGTTAAATTTGATATCTCCCTTCCGTGAGAGGAGTGTCATGGCAATTTTTTTTTCAGAACTCAGTTTAGCATTTTTATCCACTTGTAAGAAAAGGCACTTTATGTAGCAAAGCTATCCTTAGTATTGATGTGATGGGCTGGTTCCAGGGATTTTGGTTTATTTTAGCACAATGTAAAATATCCTGCCGTGATTACATACATTTATGAACTCTTTTTAGACTTTTTGGAACTGAAGAAAAATATGTATCTTTTGGTAAATATGTCACCGGTCACAGGTAATCAAATCATATTCAAATGGGTTATGAACGAGAAACAAACTATTGGTCTTTGATGTTTTCCCTTGGCAGAACACGCCGTGGCATAAATTTAAAAAGCACACATGCTTTGAGTTCATGGCATCTGCAAAGAGGGTGGCTCAGCTGTCAGTTAGGACATGGACGTGTAAGGTGTGCCCTTGTGCAATGCAATCACATGAAATAAATGGGTCACGGGTTGAGGGCAAATCAAAAAGGCATTGTGCATCATGATGCAGCCACTGTCAGGTGGACGGGGGTGTATTTTAACGAGCCAATCGCACGATGCTTCGAATACACAGATCTGTCACTAATAACCATAAAGTGCTTTTCCTTTACCTGATCAACTGCTGAACAACCGCCCTGTCTGATTTCCTTTCACATTCAAGGTAAGTTTGATACCACAATCGAGCTGGCATTTTGCAGAAAAAAAGGGAGAAAAGTTTACGCTTTAATGGACACTGACTGGAAAGGTTTCACCTGACCTTGCAAGATTAAGAGATCAAAAGGAGAAGCTTCTGTAGTGCTGTGACAACAGGCCAGGCATTTATGTAGTAGTCTCTACAGTATTTGTCTGGGTCAAGTCGAGTCTGCCTTTAATTTAGTGATGAAGACTGCATACATATCTCCATGCCCAGATACGGTGCTGGTATTTATGTTTGGGAGACCCAGCCAAGTCGTTACTTTTGTCAAGGTCTTCGTGCAACTTTCTGAACATAGCGGCCTGACTGTGCCTTCCACAGCCCCTCAGGTGTCTTGATGATGTTCAGATTGTCCAAGGAAATGTTATCTGAGGATTACACTGTCCATCAAAGTATTGGAGACTGGTCTGATATTGGTATAAAATATGAATCTACCAAGGGTGAAAATGGCTGTTAAATCTACCGGGAGCCTGATACTTTGCTTGTTATTTTGACCGCACCCCATGTCGGACAGGCTGAATGTGATCTGACTAATTATATCAGAAGCACTGATTTGCTTTTGCTTTATACGTATAACATAAATTGTCAAATGTATAAAAAATGTATAAGCAATGTCAAGTTGTTAAATGTTTAATGCATGAAAATGAAGGTAGAGAGAGACCAATAATGAGATATGCGGGCCCAGTTCCATTTTCTTTTAGCTCAAAACGTTATATCTGTGATTGTTGAATTAGTTGACAAATTAGAAACCTATAAATGTTGGACAACAAGTTGCAATATTAACACTATAATGATCTTAACTGAGAAGCTTTTTCATTTTTCAACAAAAAAAAAAAAACAAAACAAAAGGAATATGGTTAAAAAAAAGGTCTAAAATGGTTATTCCTCTCTTGGTGCCACACATTTGTACTTTCTCTGGCATCATCAAGGCCACTGTCACTTTTAGCACAGAGAGAAGAATGACAGCAATGTCATAGAGTACAGCTGAGCAACAGGCTCAACGTCAACCCTTTACAACAACGGAACAAATCTCCAGTCCTAGAACAGGACATTTATATCCAGTACATTTATCCACCATTTAGCGCTCTGGGTTTCCCATTAATATAAGATGAAATATCAAACATTAGATGTTTTACAAGTTAGTGTGAATAATATCTTTCAATTAACTGATGGATTGTTTCACTTATAAAGAAAGAAATGCTCGATAAGCGATCAGTCCCATGTTTTTTCTTTCTTCTCCACAGGAACTTTAAGCTGCTGCCATGTCTGAGGGGTGAGTAGTGCTAATTCGAAATTACAATATTTTCATTCACAATTCTAAATGTCCATAAAAACACAATGACAAAATGTGGCTTCTTTTTTCAACCTGCTTTTCTTTGTTACATGATGATAAAGACCGGTGAGTGAAAATATGATTATTCAAGCGAATAAACACAGAAATCTAATACATTTAACATAATCTCTAATAGCATCCTTAACTTTATGGCTTTGTTGTGTTCTTTATCACAGAAAAAGCCAAAGTATTCAGCAACACGCCGGCTGCTGCTTAAGGTAGGTCTCATAGAGCTACTACACAATGCTTCTGGTAAACCCTGACACAGAGAAGGGGCTAATTCTTGTGGTGTATATTCATTCAGTCTAAGCTGCTGAAGAAGGCAGCGTCTATGCTGGTGGCTGAAATTGAGGAGAAAAAACTTGAGAAAGAAAGAGCAGTGAGCGAGTCTATTCCTCCCCTGAAGCTGTCAGGTCTGTCAGTCCAGGAGCTCCAGGTACTGCCACAGCTCTTTATGCTAATTCCCTCTTCACTGTTTAGCAGGAATTCTGACTGCTTTCTTTTTTCCTGCTAATCACAGGAACTATGCAAAGAGTTACACCGCAAGATTGACGTCGTAGATGAGACGCGTTATGATATGGAGATCAAAGTAGCCAAAAATGACACCGAGGTGAACAAAAAAGAATAAATAAGTGAATCATGTCATCCACGAACGTTACCGTAGTTGTGGCAGACACTAATTAATTGCTTTTTTTTTTTTTTCTTTTTTCCCCACAGATCCAGACGCTGAAACTGAAAATCACTGAGATGAAGGGTGTAAAGAGGCCCAGCTTGAAGAGGGTGAAGAAAACCACAGATGATGTGCTGGGTGCATACACCGACACTTCCAAACTCATGAAGGCTGATTTCAAAGCTAACCTCAAGACAGTGAAGAAAGATGAAGAAAAGGTAAATCCGTAACATCTGCACAAATAATAACGCCAATGGAAGGTTTGATTTGAAATATATCATGTACTCATATATACGTATCTGTTTGTTATCCTCACAGAGGGAAGAAGTGACAGACTGGCGTAAGAACGTGGAGGCCATGTCCGGCATGGAGGGCAGGAAGAAGCTGTTTAATGCGGGACAATAAGAGAACACTTATCAGTTTAACAGCTGTTAAACTTGTTTGTTCAGAAAACACGATCTCCGTGATGTTAACTTTAAGTCTGCATTGCTCAAATGATTTTTTTCCTAATTATGCCCCCTTCTTCGTCATCAGAATCACTGTCAACAATAAGAATGGTTTACATTATACGGTGAAAGAAAACTATTTGTGAAACTGTTTCATCTTGACTGAATGTACATTTTTTTGTACAAAATACAAGCATAGTGTATGACTGCAATAATACTGTTTTTTTTTCCATACTGAAGTTGTGCTGAGATAAAGGCTCATTAACTTTGTGATTTTGAAGTGCAGTATTTGTATTCCACAGATGATGGCGCTGTCTCTTCATCTGTAAGCAACCTAATGCTGAATAAAGAATCATGACCAGATGCTTTTGTTTCTTAAATGATGTCTTACATTTTCTCTCAGTGAATTGAACATCTAGTCCTGTTCTTACTCCAGCGTTGGTAGCCGTTATCCAGCTGTCCTCAGCTGTCCATAATGACTCCCCGCTGCAGTAAACCTGGCATTGGAGGACAGAGGTGTTCTGATATGCAGTACACTGGCTGTCAGGACGGGAGATGCTATTTTAGCTGGCCACTCACAGAAGGCAAAAGGAGCTATTAAATTTGAGACTTGAGTTTTCTTCTTGTCATTGAAAGACAGAGACTGATCGCATTGACTGTTTATTTTTTCTGCGGAGACCAAAAAAAGGTAGGATGATTTGTCCATACGAGTTTATACAAAGTGGCCTGGTGCGCCAATGTTAAATAATCCAATTAAAGACAGGTGCTTCTTTACATTATGTTACAAAGGTAAGGAGTAAAACAAAAGCTAAGTAACTATTTATGAAATGAGATTTTTTTTAAAGAATCTGTAAATATATAATAATTGAAATATTATAATTGAAATGAGTCATAACCCTTCCATTTAAGGTTTCTTTATTCAATCTATCCTTAAAATGAGTACTAAACTGTAAATTAAATAGTGATGTGACATATAAAATCAAACATTTTCCCTTATAACAACAAATACCACTCTAAGCACTTCATATTTTAAAAAATTAATCTACATTATGTGTTTCTATTATTTGTGAAAAACTAATTCTGATTCGAATGTTCCGAGTTCAATTGGGATTAAAAAAGGAACATCATTCCAGCTATCTGCAGCTCTCGAGTATGCTGCGTTGCTAATTTAAAGGCTCAGTGATGGTATGTGACCATTCCAAGGTCTGCATGGCTTGAACTTGGCGGTGTCAACAAGAGGTGATCAGTGGGATGACGGGTAAAGAAAATACTGCGGGGAAGCTGAGAGCCTTTACAAAATATGTGGAGCATTATCACCAAAAGAAATTAAAAAAAAAAAAAAAATTGACAATGTTTGAACTGCTGCTTATGTTGCTGCTACAGCAAAAAGTATATTTTACTGACATTATAACAGTAACAAATACTGCAATTATTTTACAGACAAGAGCCAACCATGTCTGAAGCGTAAGTTACTGTTCTTTTTATCATAATTATTTAAATAAAAAAATATTAATTCTGTTTTATTTTTCTCGTATTTCAACACTTAATGTTTTCTTTCTGTTTTCCACATAATTGTATCCACCCCAGACCAGTAAGTTGTTATACAGCATTTACAGCTGATCTATAACAATTTAATGTCTTAATTTGTATTTTTGCACTTCATATTTCTCTCAATTCTTTCTTTGTAGAAAAAGTCAAAGATATCTGCATCTCGCAGACTGGCTCTTAAGGTAAGGTCCTCTTTGTTTTTCCCATTGATATTAAGTCCTCCAAAAAAGACGAGCAACAACTCTTTTCCTTATTTTCGACATCTTAGACCAAGCTGCTAAAAACTGCAACTGTGATGTTGGAGAAGGAGAAGGAGGAAAAGAGACTGGAGAAAGATGCCACTCTGAAGGAGAGAGTTCCTCCACTTCAGCTCTCTGGTTTGTCTGTTCAGGACCTTCAGGTATGAGCAGGTCACTGCACAAAATGCTCATCGGTGAAGTTAAACAGTTAAAGTGCTCCACTCTAAGGCATCCCTTTTCATCTGTATACAGCATGTACTGTGCATCTACTGTATTAACGTGTAGTTGGGTTAGTGGACTAGCCCAGTGAAGTTTAGATTTCACAATATAAATGACTTTAGGGCATAATGATATACTTCCATTTAAAAAACAAAAATCATAGAAACGTTCCTTTTGCAGCAGTTACATGTGGCTAGGTTCTTAAAGTCATATATCAGACGCCATTAAAGGCTCGATGATTGAAGAGTTCTGTTAACTAAAGGTGATTATAATATGTTTTTCTTTCCTGCAGGCTTTGTGCAAAGAACTTCACCAAAAGATAGATGTGGCAGATGAAGAACGCTACGATATTGACGCCAAGGTGGCCAAAAACAGCAAGGAGGTGTGTGTCGATTCATCGACATGTCTGAATTACATGTGGACTTGTGATTCATTCACCGAACAAAACATCTTTAAAATACCTACATTGACTTAACTGTTTTTTAACTGCAGATAGAGAGTCTGAATGCGAAGATTATCGAGCTGAGGGGTAAGAAGCGGCCTGCTCTCAAGCGGGTGAAGATCTCAGCCGACGCCATGCTGGGAGCGCTGCTGGGCGCCAAGGTAAAAGAGTCTGTGGACTTCAAGGCCAACCTGAAGACTGTGAAGAAAGAGGAGGAGAAGGTAATGTGCCCCGACTCGATCAGCAAATCGAGTTGTCGTTGTGTGAGTTACACAAAAGACAACCCCATTCCAACTGATTTCCTTCCCAAAAACAGAAAGAAGAAGTGACCGACTGGCGTAAGAACGTGGAAGCCATGTCTGGTATGGAGGGCAGGAAGAAACTGTTTAATGCGGGACAATAAGAGAACACTTATTGTAGTTTGAAAACTTGTTTGAAAGCTATTTGATGCTAGCCAGTATTCAGTACACTTTGTTATACGATAGTAGTTTTAAACATTACATGAGTAGAAACTTTATGTCACCGAACACCCTTATAGAGTACATTGTATATATCTGAATGTGTCTGCTGACCTCTTATTGACTTACACTATATTTTGCAAGCATATGCAGATTCACAAGAATAAAACTGATTATTTGTATAAAGATAAGTTGGATATATGACTAACATTTGTAAAATGTTGAATTTCAAAGACCACAGATGGAAGAAAGCAAACTATCGTTTTTGGATCTTGAGCGCAGCTTCAATAAAGTCTATTAAACCAGAAGACGGCTGTTTTTTAATGTTTACGTCATGATCTGAGTTGAGCCTTGACGTTAGTGTGGGAGTGCGCACAAACATGCGCAAATGAAAAGAAACTGGGTCCCACCGTTTGCTGCGTGTTAGCAACAGCAGCTGAGATCAATGTTTTTAAATACATTCTTAATCAGGAAAAGCAATAAAATCTGCATTAAGTTCCAACTGACCGAACCAGGAAACAAAAAACACAAGGGGAACCGGAATAACGCAGAAAGTGAAATACAGCAACACATACCCTTGAACTTCTATCCAGCCATTGGCGATAGCATCATCTCACCGGCTCTGACATGGGGAACTAAGAATATGGAAAAGCTGAAGCTAATGTTATTGGTGTGATTTAGATGCATGGTGAGAAAAGGGATTCACATTTGGCTCTTTTTTTCCACAAATCTATGATGTGCCATTTGACCTGTTATTAGCCCCCCTTCTCCCTCAGGTTCTACATCACCACATGTAAGGTACTTTATTTTCCACAATGTAGGTCACGCAGTGGGGGGAGTTCAAGGTATAGATGTTGTACTGTAGGTGGCATTATGGGAATTCAAGGATACAAAAATCATCTGAACCACTAATATAACTGAAAACCAGAAGTCTGCGTATACTGAGATACCAACTCACTGTGGAAGCACTTTGAAGCAAAGTCAACAGTATGCTTGGCTATTCTTGTTTGGCTGTTTGCTGCCAACCTGTCCTAATGTGGGGCCGTGAGTTCCAGCCTTTTGTGTGAACAGTTGACCTGTTACAACACTGACGCACTGAACCCAAGCTGGCTCACTTTACAAACCACTGTGCCCCGATGTGCACCTGTCCTTGTTCCTCTACTGGCCTAAATAAAACTTGACTAACCTTTGGCTTTTTTCTTACCTCAAAGCTGACACTTTAATGTGTTATCAGGCTTCAATAGTCTGTCAGCACACACTTAAAGAGGACTGTGGCGTAAGCATGTGTGCAGCTATCACTGTATGTCCTGAATTTCATACTGCTTTTAGCTTTTCTGTCATGAAGAGGTGATATATGAACACATACATGATCATTTTATCATGACATAGACCAACATTTGTGCTTATTTGAAAATAAAATAATGAAAAGGATGAACACGACAAAAATAATCAACTAATGAGAAAAATTAGATGGGACAATGAGAAAATTTTGAGATCATCCAGCTCGCTCTTGGACTCTGGTGTTTCCTTTATAACTGCAGGTAGAGAATAAATCACAACTGTAACTCTACCGCTGAAGAGCTGGCTGTAACCAGAAGAAAATGCAGGACTCTGGCCTTGCATGAGTTAAGTCACCCTTCTAAATGTGCCCTGTTACTTCCCGTAACAGGTGCTGCAGAAATGTTTCAAGATATCCAAATATCTGAACCCATAAATGAAGTTTTATTACCTCCTATGCTGTTTGAATATTGTAGTGAAGCTACAGGCCACAGTAAATGTCAGGGCTGGTGGACAGACAGTGGCAGAAGAACAAACACGGCTCTATTTTAGTGAGCCATTCCCATTTAGAAGAGACCCTATAAATTTGATTGATCTTTTTCCATCATCTTTCAGAAAGTCCATTGTGGCTCCCGCTCACACACCTAGCCTCACTTCTGTCTTTCGACCCTACAGGAGCTGTTTGGCTTCACCTAGGTACAGAATTTGGATTTTTATGAATGTCTGTTGGCAATTGTTGGATTCTGTGGGTGAGTGATGCAGCATGCTGAAACCAATACTAACAGCTACTTTGTCTGATTAGTGTCTTGTCCTCACATTGTTGTTTTATTGAGATGCGATTGTTGTTTAACATAAACAAGTTGAACAGAGACGTCTCACATGCCTGTGGATTATCTGGTCATTCGCCCTTTTTTGCCACCTATGCAGGAACTCTCATCAGTGCTTCAGTCCACATCCACTGCTGTAGTTTTCAGTGGTCAAAAAGAAAAGACTTCAACCTATTCAAGACTGAAAAATGTAGCCAGTACACTTTCTTGCTGTTTTGATGGCTAATACTTGGAAATATTAATATTTTTCATTCTAATCTAATTTAATTCCACATTAGAAAAGCCAAAAGATAAATCTGTGTATTTCTTATTACATGTATTGTATAAAGGGTAATACAATAAATGAACAATCATTCAGCCTCTTGTACACTGGCCCGGTGGTATCTCTGGGGGAGTGACTAATAAATAACTCCGTGTACCCAGCTTTAATGGCCTGGTGAATGTTTGGAGTGGGTAAAATACTTTGGCAAGAGGAGTGGCAAAGAGGATCAACCTTCAGTATACTGCTAAAGGGAAGAGGGATTTCTTTTTTTGCAAGGTGCTGTGAAATAACCTGATTTGTTTGCATGATGCATCAACTGCATGACATTAAAGGTTACACTGCTCAATTCTGCTTGGTTTTCATATTCTAGAGTGGGAGTAAAAGGCAATCATGGCTGACGCGTAAGTACAATCACATCTGCTTTATGATTAAAGTTCAAGTGATGAATCAAAACGCTGAACTAACATTTATTTATGCAATTTTCTATGTGTGCGTCTTCTTCTAAATACTTCAACAGACCGGTAAGTATCTACTTGTACACACTTATAAGTACAGTTTGTCTGTCTATTGAAGATTTATAAAAAAATAGAGACATGGCTATGTTCTGTATATTTACTGTTTTTTATATGTGCCATTTACAGAAAAAATGTAAGATTTCCTCTTCTCGAAAGCTGGGGCTGAAAGTAAGATTCTCATTCATTTTTGGAAATATAATATGTTTTAGAATGTATTTAAAACAACAAAGTACATTTGTTGAACTTACCATTTTATATTATATGTAAAAGTTAGGGTTTTACCCTGGGCAACAATGCCCTTTGTTACTAAGCATGAAGGGAAGTTTCCAATACGTAACTTGAGAGAATGAGATAGTATGTGTACCTAGCTGGGTAAATTGACCCTGTGAGAATTTACACATCTTTTTGGAACTGCGTGTTACATGCATGGTTACTATGAAGGTTTTTATATTTCATTCTATTTGTTATTGACTTTGGATAGCCAAACAGAATAAAAAGAAATGTGAATGTCATTGTCATTGCATTGAGATTTTTTTGTTTCTCCCCTTAGATTAGACTCCTGACAGTTGCGGCTCAAATGCTGCAGGAGGAAACTGATCAGAAGATGAAAGAGAGAGAAGATACACTGGCTGAAAGACTCCCTCCTCTAAATCTGTCTGGTCTTTCTTTGCAAGAGCTGCAGGTCATTTATCGCGGGCCATTAATCCATGAGTAATCACAAATCTTTTTAGATCAAGCTAAGCTAAAGTACCTCACTTTTTCTTTAACAGGACCTTTGCAAAGACTTGCACCACAAGATTGACGTTGTAGATGAAGAACGGTATGATATTGGCCTGAAAGTTTCCAAAAATGACTTGGAGGTGAGCTGCTACAATACATAAGGCAGGAAAGACACTTTTGCTAGAAACATTTCTGAAGAATTTAGTCAATTAATAATGATCTTAAAAATAAAAAAATAAGGTTACTTTTTTTATTTATTTGTAACGATGATAAATACCGCCCCCTAGTGACAATATAACATGTCAAACTTTTTTTTCAGCCTGCAATGATACATGTCTTACCTCTGGAGGGCAGACTGGTTTCATCTAAATCCCCTTTATCCTACTTTGGTTCTGTTTTTGGCAATAATTGTTGATAATTATGCTAGATAGCTAACATTTATCTGATTTTAAAGATGCATAATGTTCAGTGGAAATGTATTTTACTCAAAGCATCTGTCAGACAGTGACAGACAAATCAGCAGACAGTGACCTTTGTAGACTATTGCAGGCTTAGGCAACAAAAATGCTGTAACATAGTCGGATAACCCATTCTAGAATTGTTTGCAGTTTAGACTTTTTTTCCCCTCTGATGTCGTCCACATGGGGTCACACTTGGCTCATCTCTAAAGATCTGCAGTATAATGTAGACAAACATCTAAAAAAAATTTAAGGCTAAAAAAACTTATATTATTATTATAAAATAAATTAAGCTCCAGGTGAAATTCTAAGAAATTTCACCTGATTATTGAACACGTGCTCTGTTAAGCAAGCCTGTAAGATTTGGTTCAAGGAAAATTAAAAAAACAGACCCTCCATTAAAGTTTTAATGGAATTTGACCAAATCATTCCCAAATGAGGATTTCTAGAGCTGAGACAGATCCTTTATCTCCATTCTGATATCAAGTGCAATGTGTGTCATATTCAGTCTCAATTAACATCACAATAACGACAAGACACCTTGGAGATTCCTTCCAGCATTAGGGTTCATTCATATTAACTTTCTTCTGTTACGTGATCTCTTGGACAGATTCAAAACATGAACATTAAGATCACTGAGATTCAGAGTAAATTCAAGAAGCCCCACCTGAAGAGAGTCAAGATCTCAGCTGAAGCCATGCTGAGCGTTCTGCTGGGCTCCAAACATAAAGAATCGATCGACTTCAAGGCTAACCTTAAAACAGTAAAGAAGGAGGAGGAGAAGGTAAACTTGGTGCCCGCCCCCACTTTTGGTGTAATGATCTGCTTCATAATAGCTGATCGTCTATTTCTCCAACAGAAAGAGGAGGTTACGGACTGGCGTAAGAATGTGGAGGCCATGTCTGGAATGGAGGGCAGGAAGAAGCTGTTTGATGCCTCTGGCAACTAGAGAAACAACCACTTCTAAAAGAAATCTCAGATTTGTTCATTTCTTATTACTTATGTCCGATACATTGAATTATGAATTGCAAGCAGGACGAACACTATCATAACTAGGGTAGGCACTAAGTGCTTTTTAAATTATTTATAGAAACATAAAATGGTGAGTAAGGCTGAAATATATATTAGATATAACCCCTTTTCTTTAAGACTAACGATTTCAAGATGTTTTGGTAATTTAATTAGTTTTTTATGAGCTAAAGATGTACGAGTGTCTGCAACAGTGCTTACAAGCAGCCTCGAGATGGCAGCAGAATTCTTTAAAAATCCTCACAGCATGCTTAGCGATGTGTGGTCTTTTGTTTAGAGCGTACGCTGGAGAAAAACTGTTTGTCTCTATGAAATAGTACCTGCTTTAGTGTTATCTGTTGTGAGAAACTGCCTTGTATTTGCTAAACATTCAAATTGTACAGGTCATTAAAGATGTTTCCCAAAATGAATCAGTACAATTGCTATCTTTGTTGAAGGCTTTGTAGAGGCAGCATGTCATTTTGGTTTATAGACCCTCAAGGTTCTGACAATGCTTTGCTCAAATGTGGAAAATTAAAAATAAATTTGGGCTCTTTGTGAGACCAAAACTGATCAAACCTGCGTAGTGATGATTGAAAACTGCCTCAGCCTTCACAGTTGCAGAAATAAGACAGTGGGACTAAGAAAGCATCACAAGAGGGCCGCCACAGCAAGAACTTTCACACTTCATACATGTGGGATATGAGAGACGCAAGAATGGTGAGGACAGAGGGTCTATTTTGGTGAGCCACTCACATGAGTGCTGGAATCTATATATCTACCCTCTTCCATCCCATCCTGTCTCAGGAAAAAGACGCCTGCGAGTACTCGTCATTCACTGAATCAGGTAAGGAGTTCACTTTGAAAAATATGGAGCCAGACGTGCTGATAGACCGAAGCAGGAACTTTTATGACTACTGTCAGAGAAGAAAGTGTTGTCGTAAATTATACTCAATAGAATAGTCAGCTAAACAAGGTTCAATTTCTTTATAATAAAAAAAAATTCACATTAGAATGAAAAAAGAATCTCCATGGGAGGAGATTCTTTTAAATGTTAAGATGTGCTGTCTTTCTTCCCTTAATCTTAGGTTACAGTTATACCTGTGATACTTTATTTCATAAATATTTTTTACTTGTTACTCTTCAAATCTTTGGAACAATTTGACTACTTGTCAGATGGCTTTTTTTTTGTTAGGTTTAATTTCAGAGAATATTTTCTTTTTGACCTTCAAGCAATGTCATCCATTGCTTGTTCCCCTCATGTCTTTGACAATGCAGGAAGTTTACAGAGAAAATGTGATTGAATCAGTGGATAATTCTTTTCTATCTTTTTCATATTGATAGACTTAAAGAGGAGGTATAGAGAGCTGCAAATATGTCTGAAGCGTAAGTACTCGCCTATTTCTATCACAATTAATCATTTGTTTAATTGACATACAAAACACCACAAATTGTATAAATGCGTCTCTTCTATATTTGTTTTTCCACGTTATGGACAACCCTTTTCAAACTGTACAGGTCAACGGTAAGTCAAGTTTGTTCTTCATGGATTCATGCCTGAATCAATGTAATCTGTTTTAGGGCGAAAAACTGTAGATTTGAATTAGGTTGTCAAGACCTCGCCCCCTACACATTGCATATTGACTTTGATTTACTAGAGAAATAAAAGAAACTGACTAACTACATGATACAGTAACAAAACTATGCATTAAAATCAAAACCTAGAGGGGCAGCCTGGTTAACATCTTCAATACAAAGACACAGTAAAAGCATGAGCCTCAGCTTCTATAGTTAATTGGTATTTTAACTTTTTTTGGTCAGTCACTTTGCATCTTTTGAATTCTTTGCCTTTATTGATTGATTTAAAAGCAACAAAAAAAGTGAAAAGAATATTAATAAAACCATTAAATTAGCTAAAAATTCCCAAAATAAAAAAAATACACATTTTATTGCTCTTCCAGAAACCAAAGCCGAAGATCTCTGCATCTCGCAGACTGTTTTTGAAGGTAACCAACGAGTAAAAAAGCATGATTAAGTAATCGCTACATACTTTATATTGTCTGCTTGACTGAGGATTACTTTTATATGTTGTAGACCAAACTGCTAAAGAAGGCCATGACAATGCTGGATGGTGAAATACAATTCAAGCAAGCTGAGCGAGAGAGGATCCTTGCTGAGAGAGTGCCAGCGCTCCAAGTTTCAGGCCTGTCTTTGCAGGAACTACAGGTAGATCTGTGTCATCTGTTTGAGGTTATTTGTGGATTTTTTCCAAAATGAATTATATTCCTGTCCAGACCACTGGATAATACGATTTCCTCAAAGCATCAACAGCAACTTGCCAAGAAAAATACTTTCCCTAAAAGAATGACAACCATAACTGGTATTTGCAAGAACATTTGGACAGTAATTCCACTTAAAACTTTTAAGAACTAAGCAGCTTCATAGCTGATAATGGGAATGTATAATCCTACATAAATATGCTGCATTTTTTCAATGTACTATTTTATACATTCGCATTATATTGTCCAGATCGGTAATATCAAAACAAATTGTGACTTGCCACGTGTAAAAATCTTATACATAAAGGTTTCTCTCCACAGAATCTATGCAAAGAAATACACCAGAAAATCGATAAGGTTGATGAAGAGCGCTACGATTTTGCTGCCAAAGTGGCAATCAACGACAAAGAGGCGAGTATTCTTTGCCAATTATCATTTGAGTCATCCTTCTCACAGAGTTTTAAAATCTCGTGATGTGACCGGCTTGTTTTCTCTTCTGGGAAAAAGATAAGGGATCTGTCTCAAAAGATCTTTGAGTTGAAAGGCAAGATGAAGAGACCAAACCTGAGGAGGGTTAGGGTGTCTGCAGACGCCATGCTGGGAGCTCTGCTGGGTTCCAGGGTCAAAGAGTCTGTGGACTTCAAGGCCAACCTCAAGACTGTGAAGAAAGAGGAGGAGAAGGTAAGACGGAGAAAGTTTAGGCTTCCATATCATGTGATTTCACTCCCATTTAAATCCCTTTTATTTACTTACACATCACATAAGTATAAAGAACAGTAATAATACACAGAATTAAATACATTCAATACACATAAGTCACGACTAAATAAATCTTTAATGAAAACCCTCGACAGATTTTGAAATTAAAGTTTGATGAAAAAAAATTAACCTATGATTGAAATGCTTTTACTCCACAGAAAGAAGAGGTGACTGACTGGCGTAAGAACGTAGACGCCATGTCTGGAATGGAGGGCAGGAAGAAGCTGTTTAATTCTGCACAGTAGATTAATAGTGAATATCTCTAAAGATGTTTGTTGTTGTCAGACAGGTGGAAGAAGTTAATTATTTTCCCTTTAATCATGTTCAAATCATGATGAAGGGAATATGACGACCACTTTAAGTTCATACTCTGGCACAGTTCATGTTTGTGTCATTAAGAATAACACAGACAGAGACAAGTGTTTTCTTTGAATGCATACTTTTTTCTTTTTTAATCAAGTATCACCTAAAACACACGTATTTAACATATCAGTGAGCTTCATGGTGTTTGTAGTTTTTAGAAAATGCATGTGTGAGTACACAAATACTGTTTCTATGTTTAACTTAAGTAATGTTGAGGTCCTGTTTGACTCATTGAGAAATGCCCATTCATCACAGGATATACAAACACAAAACCATTATTCTTTACTTCTGTAGCTCCTTCATCATTTTGGACTCAAATGATAATGTTTACACATCCCAGGGGCAGCTTACTATTAAGTTAAGAAAAAATATGGAGTCATGTCAAAGGTCATATCCTTCTAAATGAATGTGATATTACACTCGGAAACGCTCAGCTAAACAGGGTTAGGATTTGTGTATCAATCAATAAAGTGTATTTGATTGTCCTGATGGCGGTTGTTTCTTGCTATAGTGTGAACCTGCACAACCAGTTTCCATGAGAAATATTTGGGATAGTTGTCTTTTGGTGAATTAGACCAAATATTCTCAATCCAACATTGTTTTCCTGAGAATAATTATTTTTAAAAAGTTAAAGTTTCCATGTATAAAGAAATCCCAAAAAAGGGCTACTGTTCAATGATGAATTCATCAATCACTTGGGGATAATAAAAAAAAAGTTTGTAAAAAAGTTGTATTAGAAGTAAAACAACACATTGACTGAAGGTTTACTTTGGGGACAAAGTCTCAAAGAACGTAAACATAAACCATTAAAATAGTTTCTGCATGAAGCACCTTTAAATGCAGAACTTCGTGAAATATTGGCACGCCTTATTGTTGATCCTTAAACTGTTCCTGAGAAACACTAGGTCTGTTTTTGTCACGCTAACACATTTTCAATGTTTACACCTGTTTAACTGGAGGACGAAATGCACGCAGACTAGCTTAGTCTTCCATGTGCTACTTAAGTCTGCCGTCTGAAAATGATGTACATCTCTTACCGACTCCATAAACCTCTCCTACAACTTAATTACAAAGCCAGGCTGCGAACTGCGGTAAGCTAACTGGCCGTATGTCACCAGCACATCACCATTACCGTCCTCACTTCCCCTCCCTTCTTCCTCCACGGTTTACGTTCCGCGTTCGCTCCTCCTAATATGGACATAACGCTCGTCAAAGTCACGCCCATATGAGAGACGGCGCTTCTCTATTGGTCGAGAAATGCGTCAATCACAAACGTCCAACAGCATTGCTTTGGCCTGCCGAATATTGCCAACATTCAGAAGTGTTCTATCTACGTTAGACTCGGATTTAAAACCCACGCGGGGTAAGAGGACATTTTTTCAATATCCTGATAATTTAGGGACGAGACCGTCAAGCGCTTACGATCCTAACTTCCCTCCATTGGCCAAGAGGCCGTGATAAAATGCAGGATTAACGGTCAGATATCGACTCTCCCATCCTCTCATGTTAGCTTAAAAGCATCCAACAATGCATTAACATATTTCTATCGTTTATACATATGCATATGGTCGTAAACTGATGCTAAATGTCGTTATATGTTATGGCAATCAATAAAGAAGCTTGCTGAGAGGAAGTTTTGTGGGTGTAACCGCCTTTACCGTTTTTTTGAGACGGCCTCTAACCTTTAGCTGGCACTCCCTCTAAACAAGTCCCTGCTCCCAGACCCAGACCTCCCACTTGTCAAACCTGTTTAGACACCCCTATTTTTTTTTTAGCTTTTTAGTTGTTTATGTCACAGTTCCTTTATTGATTTCTGTTGCAGTTTTCCGCAGCCAGTGCTTTGGATGTCCAAGTACAAACTCTTTCTGCTCAGGCATGGAGAGGGTGCCTGGAACAAAGAGAACCGCTTCTGCAGCTGGGTGGACCAGAAGCTGAGTGAGAATGGGCTGAAAGAGGCCCAGGAGTGTGGCGCCCTCCTGAAGGAGCAAGGCTATAAGTTTGATTTGGTGTTCACCTCCATACTCAGCCGCTCCATCCAGACGGCGTGGCTGGTGATGGAGGCCATGGGCCAGGAGTGGGTCCCCGTTGTCAAGTCTTGGAGGCTTAACGAACGCCACTATGGGGCCCTCATCGGACTCAACCGGGCGGAGATGGCTCGGGAGCACGGAGAGGAAAAGGTGAAGTTATGGAGAAGGAGCTACGACATCACTCCGCCTCCGATTGACGAATCCCACCCTTATTTCCTGGAGATCTACAACGACCGCAGATACACCACGTGCGACGTGCCGAAAGAGAACCTGCCCCGAGCCGAGAGCCTGAAAGAAGTGTTGGACAGGCTGCTTCCATACTGGAACAGCACCGTTGTACCAGAGATAAGGAAAGGGAAAACGATTCTCATTTCTGCTCATGGAAACAGCTGCAGGGCACTGCTGAAACACCTGGAAGGTATGCTGGCGAGCTGGAATTAAAAACCCCTATTTGAGTGTTTGTTTGGGCTGTCAGCAGCTGCTCCTGCACAGGCTGCTGCTTCTAGCCATCAGTCATTGAACGGGGAAGGACATATTTTAAGTTCCAGAAATGGAAGGGTGAACTTGTGCAAAAAGGCCAGTGAGTTTATGTTACATTAGGCTGTGGCAATGAAATCCCGGCTGACCTTTAATCACGCTTATAAGTCTTGGTGGCACACTCAGCAACTTATCAGCAGTTTGGTCCGCAGGCGGGTCTCTATGGTTTGGTAATGAGAAATGACACAGTGAGCTGCCGTTAAATTTAACAGTTTAATTCAGTTGAATTACTTGGGATTACAATATACGATAAATTATTCACAAATCTGGATGACATGAGCTCCCTTTGCTTAATTTTTGTTCTCAGTGTAGTAACTCACTGTACTCATGCTCCAGGTAAAATGGGGAATCCATCTCACTGCCATTAATCCATTGGCGAATCATATAAACTCACCTGCAGCCTATAATTAATAGGAAATACTCATGGTTATTATTTTAGATTCTCCACAAATGTACAGCTGTTTAAAGCAGATTGATCTGAACCTTTTTCCCCCCTTTTCAACAGGTGTATCGGACCAGGATATTGCCAAAGTGACTTTACCTACCGGGGTCCCTGTGCTGCTCGAACTGGATGAAAATCTCAGACCCACGAAACCGCGGCAGCTGTTGGGCGACCAAGAGAAGATTCAGGCGGCCATTAAAAAAGTTGAAGACCAGGGAAAAGCCAAGCCATCAACTTGAACACAACAGAGGGATTATTTAATGTGACATTTAACACAGCACTGCCCCCATCGCCCAGGCGCTCTTAAACCTTAGTTTATAACAGATTTTAGTCAAGAATAGGACACAATAGTAGGCAATAACAGTGGCAGGCTGCAGTTGGTCAGACTTAACAGGTCAGCCTGAGCCTTACAGTCCAGTTACTGTGTGTGTGGAACTGAGCTTGATCAGTTTAAGGGCAGTGCTGCTCTCAGCCAGGGAATAGTTCTACTAAAAGTATCTCAGTGTGGGGCTGAATTGTGTTGTTAGCGCTGAAGGGGTCTTTGGTCTTTGTCTTATTTGTCAGTGAATTCGCCATGTCCCACCTAATTTATTTACCCTGAAACTCCACTGATTTATGTTTAAAAAAAAAAAGCACTGTGAAGTCTGTTTGCCTGTTACATTGGTTAGCTTGGGGAATGTTAGACGTGCCTTCAATATTGTTGTGTTACTTCTTCTACAGCTTCCTGTTAGGTACCAAATAGGTCTAATATTTAAGAATAACTCTGTTTACAAGTCTTACCTCGTGAAAACTAAGAACCAGTCTGTTCATTCCAAGATCTGGGTCACTGTAAGCCACAGAAATGCTGTAAATAAGCAAAGCCAGTCACATCCCTTTTATTTATGAATAACTCCTACTTAGCTAAGGGTCACCCAGTGTGACAAGTGAAGCTGTTTTTCACTGTGGTTGACACAATGCATCAGCTCCAATAAGGAATAGACTGAGTTTCAAAAACATGTGGCTTACAACATACTGATGATAGCTGGTTTATGCTTACTTTGTTTTGGGGGGAATTTCAGTGAATTTTAAGCTAAAGAAAAGTACAGACGGGTTGATATGCATGCCTGATGGAAATAATTTGATATAAATATTGAATTATATCGCACAGTCACTTTTTTCTGTAGCATTGACATACGTTGGGTTTTGTGAGGTATTTTTTTAATGTTAATGTTAGTGTATTATGTCTCCTGCCTGTGTTGTGAAGATGTTAAATGTTCACCATCTGGGGCTTCTGTCTTTTTATGCCGTGCTTCCTCATCTCTCCTATTTGTACACTGGTTTGTTTTTGCCTACAGAGAAAAGTGATAAATTAAGAACATCTACCCTATCATTCTTAGGGTAGAGAGCACTGATAGGTTTTTATAAGTTTATGTGATACTGTCCCTGTGGGTAAAAGCTTTGCTTGATGAAATAAAACAGAGTTTAAATTTCCTTAAAAGGTGATCATTATTTCTGCCCTATGGTTCACTTCAAGCTTTACTTTATCAGACTGCTAATTATTTTAACTGCAGGGAGGCGTCTTGGATGCCACGGTTAAACAACTAGCTGTAAATTTTGTGATCGAGTAATGGGGACAAACAACAACAAACAATTGAAAACAAACAATACTAATTGCTTGGGAAGAAGATGAATTCCGGCAGTTTGGAGTCTCTTGGTCCTGAGAGCCCTGGAAACAATAAACCACTGGGATACCACAGACGGGGCCGGAGGAGTGGCTCCTTATGTCTCAGCCGTTTTGTAATTTAGCCAAACCAGAGGGATTGAGTCACAGAGAAAACACTAACTGGATGGAAACGCTCTGACGCTGACTGAGTTATCAATATACGGTTCTGAGGTCCGTCTGTGTACCAGCAGAGGCCTTTAACGCTCTCGTATGAAGTACATGCAACAACACTAAAGAAGGAGCAAAACTCATGTGACAACCTTATTGGTAAACTCGACGCGTCAATCATCTGGTCCTAAGTCATGGTGAAATAAAATCAAACAATAATGACAAACTCTCAAAAGACAGGATTATGTTTACTGTATTTCAAAGTTTGGGAAGTGACTGAGCCATCAGCAAACTGATATAAAGAGCCTCCATAAACAATACGATTCAGCTGTATTGCAATATCAATATGTCTAAAATCGGTGTATGCACACACACACACACACAGATCATCCTCTTTTTAAGAATCCCAGACTTGCAGGCGGAGCTGTGCACTGATGCAGTGCTTATAAACCTCTGGTCGCTCTTCAACTGCTGAATTCCAGCAGGAACTGTCACTCTGTCTGCAGGCCTGGTAAGTTCGTCTATCATCCTGAGTGAAGCAAATTAGCAGAATAATTAATATAGACAATAATTATGATTTAGTTGAGCCTTTTAAGTCGATCAGATGCTTTGATTTGTGTTTGTTTCCATTATCCTGCAACATATGATGTGATGACAAGATATAAAAATGCATCAGTTGAATTATGACAGACAGGTTTTCTGAAGGATTAAATGCTAAAAGAATCATTTTGATAATGCAGGTGAATATCCTATGTAAAAAAGAACAGCAAATACAACAAAGATTAAAAAATATAGCAGCTGTTGCATAATAACACACAATTAAATGATGTGTTTGTTTTCTGTATAACAGTTATACAACATTCATTCCTTTTTTTCTTTAAGTCTTAAGAACCACATTTCCTTAAAAAAATATATCTGAGTTTGATTATGTTGCAAAAATTGCATCAAGAACTTTCCTTTTTCAGTTATATATAGAAATATAAATCTAACATAAACCTATTGTTTCTGAAGAGGCCTTAAGTTTAAAGCACTTTAAAGTGACTTAAAATGGCTCTAAGAATATGGGATCCAGGCTATTTTTTACAAAGAGTGGCAGATTTTTTTTAAAATTACTTTACTTAATGTCCTTCACATTAACTGATGTAATTCTAACCTAAGTGTAAACTCCCAGAAATTATAGATTACAACTCCCGAGTTCTTTTTTTTCCACCTGGGAGAACGAAATACTTTCTCTGTCCAATCCAGAATTTGGAAATGTCAGTCATTTCAGTATCTGTTACTTAAACACTTCACAGACATCTGGTTGTGCACGCACTTTGTTGTTGGACATGCCAAGTTAGGCTCCTATTCCTTAGATGGAATTGAAGATAAAGGCTGCACCAACATGGGGCTCCATTGTGTGAGACCACAGGCTCATCCAGTGGGGACTGGAAGTGTGTTTAGCCTAAAAGGGTATCCTTCCTCCACTCCCTGTTCTTGTTTATTGAAATCAGATTGCGTGAAAGTGAAAACAGGCATCCTTTGCACACACTTGGTTCCAATCCCTGTGTAAATCTGTAGCATGTCTGCGTGTCTTAATGATGGTCTCGAAACAACAAGACAATGTGGCTGGTTATGAATTTTACAAATGCAAATACAAATTTTACAAATGCGGTGAATGAAATCTAAATGCTGACTCCTGCATGGAGGCTGTGACAAACTGAAGTGGGTTGCAAACTCTCAGTACGACATTTTTAAACATTTTAAGCAGTTTGAAAGACAGTAAAAAGTTTGAAAGCGGTCATTTTAAGCGAGCTGTGAATCAGGTTTGCCAAATGAGAAACCAATGCAAAGAGAATTGCACTGCGTGTGTTTTTCTCTTAGTACAAATGAGTCTTTGTGTTCGAGATGTGGTGTGATTTTACAAAGAGGGGGACTGCACGCTCTTTATCTGTACTGCTGGAACACTCTGAATGGTAGAGAATGGTTTTCCACATGGGCAAATGACTGGAGGGATAGGAGAGGTGAGTGCTCATTCATTCAGAGTGCTAAACAAAACCAAATGATAGAGAGGTGGGGTCTGTTTTGAATCCATTCTTTAAAAAAAAAAAACTATGATAAAAAATCAGCTTGGTGTCCTTTACTCCCCATCTGTAACATCAACATCTAACAGCGCTTAAAAAAGCAGATTCACGTGATCACAATGGAAATAAGCTATTCTGGAGTTCCTGCTGCAGATATTTCCCAAAGTAAACCTTACTCTTTTTTTTTGTGGCTTTGCACTTGACCAAGCTGGGACACTACAACTGGAGTGTCCTGCGTAATGCCTTAAAAGGAGGCGGAGTAGTCCCTTTGAGCTGACGGGATGCGGAAAAGGGTGTGCTCACAGTTGCATCTATTTCAACTGAGGTCCCAGCCGAGAAGGAAACCGTAACTCATCACAAATGTTTGATTCAGATTTTCACAACAACGATCTTGGGCTGTTTTAATGTGACAGATTTGTGACATTTCGACAGCTGGAGAGCGTGACTGTCTTATCCGGTTCTTCACGTTGTGAGAAGAAAACAGAAAGTCTCCCGTTGCGGCTGATGCTTATCAGGCCTAAAACGCTGCATATTTCTTTTTGACCAAACCCTACACACGTTTTTTAATGAGCAACACAAAAGGTCACCACTACAGCATTTTGCGGTTTGTAAACTATGTGGAATTTGTGTCCTGGTCATGGACTTTTTCAAATGTGACCATGTTTGGTCATGTGGAGTAAGCAGCAGTAGCTTCTTGATTGATTGCAAACGCCTCTCTGGCAAATGTTTAGAAGTGTGTTGAAGCACTTTCTCCGTCCTTCAACCAGAACCTTGTCTGGTTATTGGAAAATGTAGTCATATGATGCACTGCATAATCCATGTTTGTGTATGTACTGTACATGGATTTAGCCTTTAATGAAAGTGAGGATATCAATGGTGCATTTAACAGATCACAAGTCAGCCTACAAATTAAAGGGCTCCCGGCATTAGATGACATGAATACTCACATAAAAGACTTGAAAACTGGTATAAAACATATGTTTTATAGTAACTGTCACATTGTATTTAGTCCATTGTCCCACTTGCCCTTAGTTAACTATCGATTCAGATGGTGTCTAAAAGTAATCAAATGCAACTGCTTGAATTCTAATATCAGCATCAAATTAAGTTTCTAGATAACTGACTTGCCAAGACTTCTTACAGTAACTTCCTTTCAGTGGTGTCCTGATAAACTGGAGCTGGCAGCTTCTTCACACATAAAAAGAGTTTATTTGACAGAATTCCCAGGTCTGACCAACACAGTTACTGGAAAGATCTGGGACAGGATCACAGATTTATTCTAAGCAGGAACGCTTCCTGGATTCATTTCTAAACAGTTGCAGCTTCCAAGGCAATTAGTTCACACTGCTGTTACTTGGGCGTAGCCCTTTTACTAAAGGATGAAAAGACATTTAATAATGTTGCAATGATCTGAGGGTCCCCAATCAGCAGCAAACAAAAAGGCGAGAAAAATCTACCACATATAGACACTTATACTGTATATACATTTGAACCATTTCTTTTTCATAAAAACGAAAAAAGAAAGGAAAACCTTTTCACCAAGCTGGCAGCGTTTTATCCATCATCATGTACGTTTTACAATTATTTCTTTGAAGCCCAGTGAGATCACCCCGATGCTTACGTAACCTTAAAACAAAAACTAGCCACCACATCTGCTGGCATGTGTCTCTAAATTGGTCAGATAGAATTGCATGAGATTTTCCTGCAGCAGCCACAATACGCGCTTGACTGATTGCACGCGAGAACTGAAAGGTTTAATGGTTTCCAATACTCAGAGCGCTGCATGGTTCTCCTGAATGCTTCCTGATTAAAGATGTGTGGTCCTCTGTAATCTGCCAAACCCAATGTTGTTCATGCATTAGAAACAGTCTCCAACAGAGGAGAGTGGTTTTCTCTTCCTCTTGCTCATGTATGATTAACACATTTGCAGAAACCATCATGGATCAAATGATTACAAAGATTTACAATTTAGAAACAGTACATAATATGTACACAAAGCCAATACGAATATATACTGAAACCATCTGTTGGTGTAGTGTATTTTGAGTGTTTTAATGATGGAGTTTTAACTTTGAGTCTGATTGTGCTCACCAATGTTTAATAGGTGATATTTTAGTTTTCAGTGCGTTAAGTGCTTGTTGGTTTTAAAAACGCAGCACTTAGATGTTGATTTACTGTGATTTAACAGCTGTAATAGGCACTGGCACCCAAAGGTTCACTTCAGGACTGTCATCACACTTTATGCATCAGTTCAGTCAGTGCGTTAGATACTCCCCATCAGACCCTGTGTAAATATGCACTAAATTTGATGACTATTAAAACACCATTTATTAAGTCGTCTTAGTCAAATCAGCGTATCAGAACTCTGCATGCTTTTTTCTTTTTCCAAAGTGTTTGTTTATGCGTTGCTGATTTGGACCATCATCCATTACTAATCACACTTTTTGTATAGTTGTTTTGGCTCCAAGTTGTCTAATGATGTTTTGATAGAATGTAGAGCAGGGATTTCCATATCCAGTCCTCGAGGACTCCTGTCCAGTATGTCTTAAAAGTTTCCCTACTTCAACACGCCTGACACATTTAAAACCGGCAGGCCAGGCTCTGGATTTGGAAATCCCTAATATAGAGGTTTGTTAATTCTCAATGGCTTCCAAAAACGGTAATGCATATTAAAAGATATTCTCCCATCCATGATGCTTTAAATCACTCATACGTGTGCATGTTATGTACAAACAGGCACCAGGAGATGTTTAGCCTAGCTCTGTCTGAAGAACTAAATACGAGGTAACAGTTTGGCTGGATTGTAAAATAAATGAATAAAAAATGCATACCGAGTTAAAAATACTCTATGTGATTTTTTGTTATGCTATTTCATATACTTACACACTCTTGTGCGCTCAGAAAACAGACTCTTAGCACAATCATACTTTGTGTTGAGCGAAATACAGTAAAAAAGTTGGAACTTTATTCTAGACTGTTACGAATACCCACCCATTCAGTAAATCAAGCCATGTTTGCATCAAGCCAAACACGAAAAGAAAAAACTGTTGTGTGTTTGAACTTGTAGACAGACCTTGAGTTGGCAGATAGTGAAAGTGGAATAAGCCAGAGTGCTGATAGGGTGGTTGTATTTCTGGTGGTTGTTTTCTTTTTGGTTGTATAGTGAGTTTCGGTAGTAAAGTCATTCACTGTAAAAGTGTTCTGTAAATGAAGAGTGGGAAACTTTGCAAATGAACAGTTTTGCTCTTTTCTCTCTGACACCACTGAGAAGGTGTTAATCTTAGAAACCCAGTAAACCTGAATATCCCTCGGGGTTTGGAGGCATTTGCTGTGGACCACCGCACAGAGGAAACGTGGGCAGGTGTCAGACAAAGCTCTGTTCCATTTGTTTCTCATGGTCAAAAGTGACCGCCCGGATTGTCACCAGCAACAAGCTCAGGAGTCAAGTTTAGGGAAGGATTGCGAGGAATGCTGGGTGTGGAGGTCTTTGATGGTATGGTGCTGTGCTCTTGTCAGAGAAATTTTTGTCAGTGACAGAAATATTGCATTACATGTGTATAGACCACCAAATTGCAAAGGATCATAAAGAGAATTTTCCAAAGAATTGCAAAATGAGAAATTTCTCACACTCAAGAGGGATGGCTGTTAACATTTGGTTGCGATCAGTGTTAGAGCAGGAATAATGTCTGCAGACAAACATATCATACTTCTGATAACTTACAGGACTGCTGTTGCAGTTCCTCCTCAAATTTGTGAATGTGCATTTACCCACAAAGTGCGTACCATTGGGTGGTCATTTCTAGTGTTAAAGATGCCGAACTTCAGGGGCCGTGCTGGAATCCGGCCAACCCAAACACCAGTGCGCAGAGCATCAGAACATGTCCATAAGTAGTGCATCTGCAGGTCTGTTTTGTCCAAAACGCCTCAGCAGACTTTATCACCTCCAGGTTTAAGTGTTACTATGGAGAAAATGCTGGGAAAGAGTCATGGCAACAATACAAACAACATTAAGATAAGCCGCATCCCACGGTAGCTTTTACAATTTAAAACTAAAACTGACAGCAGTGAGACCTATTTTTTTAGATTGAACTGTTAACACTTTTAGAGTTCCAGACTTATGAGCTAGCCTCCTGTGATGTAGACCCATATGCTGTGCCAATCGCAAATTAAAGGGGTGTAAACAGCTTTCTGACAGATTACTCTGTTGCTACTGAATGTTGACTTCACAGTTTTTAAATATTATTGATCATTCTGCATTTTTGTAATAGGTGAATGACCTAAACCATCCTCTATATCCATGACTGTAAATAAATACAGGAAGCCTTTCAGTTTTATGAATGATTTTACGTTGTAATAGGTCCTATTGGGCAGGCATGCACAGTTTAAAAGTATTCCATCTTAATGCATCAAGGCAACTTAATTTTCAGTAACTACTTGCCTCGTTTTTATGGGGTTGTTTGTCTCTGTGTGATGGACTGGCACCCTGTCTGGGTGGTACCCCAATATTTTTTGGTTTAGCGATTACGTTAACCACTTCCTGTATGACGCTCACGCCAAACATATTCACACATAGTTAATGATGATTTGATATCTTTAAACAGTCATTTCAGACATAAGTGTGTGCTGGAAGTCTCCCTGCAATGTGATTTAAGGCGTACTTAAATGTCCTACCTAATTAAAGAGCCATTCAGTTTAATTAGAGTGGATTTATTCTTGGCGAAAGAAAACTTGAATGAATAAAAACAGAGACATCTGCAAAAAGAGAGACTAAACCTGGATTATATAAAAGAAATGAGACAAATTAAGTTTGAGAAGTTCAGAAGTCAAAGATCGGGATGGGAAAAGTGAGACAGAGGAGGCAAAGGGAAATAGCTGGGCTGAGGAGGAGTGAGGCTGAGAGAGAAAACGTGAGGAGTGGGTAGGCAGGCTTTGCCTTTTCTGGTAGTTCAAGTCACTGGAGGAACAAGTATGAATTCTTTGGGTTGCAGAAGGGCTGAGATATAAACCAGACTACAGTAGCTGTTCTATGACAGGCATAGAGACACCAATCCCCATGGATTAAACTCTACCTACTGCAAAGGTATTACAAACCAACACGCACTGTAATTTCTTTTTAAAAAATCTAAACCATGCACTCCTCTGAGATCTGGTCAACGGATTAAAATCTTGTTAGATTCCACAAACATTTCAAGTTTTGTTTTTGGTGACGGGAAAGCTTTAAATGAGAAACTGTTAGTCCTATTGTACATTAAGATTATTTCTTTGCCGACTTATGACACATGTACTAAAATCCTATTTTTGGCTTCCAGTGAACGTGAAGAGAATCTTTGGAGCAGCATGGATGATGACTTTGACCGCCGCATGGAGTTAAGGAGGCAGAGGAGAGAGCAGATGCGCCTTGAGGCTGAAAAGTGAGTAAAATCTTAAAAAATATATATGTAAAAATATATAATAATATATTAAAAAATATAAACAAATGTTCTGACAACACAAGCTTCATTATTTCCTATGACTTTCCTCTTTTCTGGGACTCAGTCAGCTGCAAGCTTTATTTAAACTATTTAAATTATTTAAAAAAGTGCTTTATACATTGCATTTTACCTGATAAAGTGACTTCAACGCAAAGAAGTAAAATATGTTGCTTCTGTTTCTTTGAAAATGAAAGTCTGACAGCGTTATTACAATCATCATTATGCAACATCAGCAAAAAACGCCAACAGATTTAGCACTAATTCTGTCTGCAGATATTTGATGACATTCTTATGTATAGCTGTGTGTAATCTGCAAGAATGTGATTAGGATATTGGACTTTCCCCGATCTCGGCGAAAAAGAGCATTTGCATTTGCTATCCAATGGCCTGAGAATGGATGGTTTCCATGTGTTGACATGTGAATGTGATTCAAAGAAGTTAAGCGAACACTGAATTTTTACGTGTTTTGTGGCTGAGATTAGTTTAAAACATGAACTCAGTGTTTGAGAAGAAATACATCATCATGAAGCCATTGTAAATAATTAAATGGAATGAACTTTGATACGAGTAATTCCCTTTCCGATGGATTGAAGCAGAATATAAAATGATCTTGGTTTTAATTCTGAAAGCAGTTTTTTCAGGAACACGTCCAATATCTTATTAGCTGCCCTATCAGAGCCACAGCAAGAAAGCGTTCCTCTAAATTTTCTCACAGTCTAGCTGCCAGCCCCTGCCAGCTGTGCCAAACAAAATTCTGCCCTCCAGATTCCCAGCTCCTCTCCACCTCTGAATAAAGCAGACAATAAAATGATTTGATGCTCATTTTTACAGAAAAAACTGTTATACAAGCTTCAAACTAAGATTCCCAGTTGAGTTTGCATTGTTAACCCCATTTGTCTAACTCTCTTATGCTGCTATTAGCCTGGTAGTTTATCTACTTTATTAATTGTATTTCAAGTCTCTCAGGTTGGTCTTTTGGAAATATCGCCAACCTTCCAGTAGCATTTGCCTGCAGATTTATTAGGTTTCCACCTCGTTTGGACGCTTTGTCTCTGTTTTGAAGACGAAATGGATATTTACAGTTTCCTGTACCTCTTCACATCTGTGAATCGTTTTGTTGTAGATTCCTTTAGAGCACAGGGAAATAATACTTGCATGCTACCAATGGACCATTCCCAGCTCCCTCGCTGCCTCATAAAGCCTGGTTATACGTTGAAAGATACCGGCAGGCTTCCACAAACTCTCTGACAGCGGGTTTGCTTGCAGTTGGATGAAGGTTAAAGACAGGATGTTAGTGTCTGTGGGAATGATAATAGTTTTCAGAGCAATCGGGTTGAGAGTGGTACTGTAAACCTCTCCCTGATCAAAAGGGAAATGGAATTATACACAAGCTCATTCTTTCCACCCATTTGGAATAAAAGAGATCATTTTTTCCCCTGCAAACTTAAGATGACATGACAAAATATTAGAAGCACTGCATTTCAACAATATTTTGTTTTTTCTTCCCAATGCATTAACCATGATCAGAACTCTCAGTGCGGCTAACCTCTCTCAGTTAAAGCCAACGTTTTCTGATCTGATTCTAGATGGAGCATAACATTAACTAAGCTGTAAAGGTCCACATCTTAATGAGACTTTAGCAATATTTTAAAACTTAGATGGGATATTAAGATGGCTTTCTTTTCTTTAATGGTATTTTGAGACTCTCAATAGGTCAAATGTTCACACAGGGCATGAAGTGACTAATCATACATAGATTAGTCAGTAAAATCGGCATCCAAGGAGGAAATAACTAATCATAAAAAGAACATATTTCAGTCCTAAACATTGTTTGTTATGTTTCTTGGCTAAGCTCAAAAAGGACCAAACATAATTTCTCAGCAACAAGGCAAACAGGAAAGTACTTACTGTACTTAAATAAGAAGAAAAATGTAAAAGGCTTTTTTTAAAGTAAAGGTCAGGTTCTCATATGCTAATCTAGACTTCACTTAAGCAAGAATATTTGAAAGTGGGAGTTCTACTGCTCTCCTGAAGAGGTTTTCATGGCCTTTTGAAATGAACAACAACATGTGCTCCAACTTGGCAATGCTCGAATGTATTATATTTCTCTTCCGCTGATTGTAGGAACCCAGTTAGGTTTGAATTTTTTATATGAAATACTCAACTCAGATTGTAAAAATATATTTTCATGTAATTGTAGCTTATTTTACATCAAGAAAAGAGTATAAAATATATGTTGCTTAACAACATATTAAAGTATGTTGGAATTTATTTATCTACTTAAATAGATAATAGAATTTTCCTATCTGAACAATATAATACAACCAATTTATTCTGAATAGTTCCATCTTACTGTAGTATTAGTCTACACAGAAGTGAGCTTTTGTATTTTTGATTTGAGATTCCAAACATGTGTCCGAGTGAAACAGAGAAAAGAGTTAGTAACATTTCTGTGTATGTGTAATATTTAAGAGTGGGCTGCACCAATGATGATGACGAGGAAGAAGCTCGAGAGCAAAGGAGACGTGCAAGGGAGGAGAGGAAAAAGATGAAGGATTCGGACGAGCCCGGAACAACCGATGTGAACTATACTAACAGGTACTAATGACAACTCTGGAAAAAAACAAACATACAATCTTAGTCAGCAAAGAGGTGATGCGAGTCCTCACCAACAGATAGAACTGGTACTGGTGATTTAAAAAAAAAAAAAAAAAACTCTTGTCAACCAGTTTCAGGACATTTAGATATTTCAAACCCCCCATCCAGCCTCTGGTAAATGTAACAGCCCCAGCATGTAATATTTTACCAAAATTTTCCCTGGTTTGCCACAGTAGATAGATCCTCAGTTTGAGTGTCTGCGTTTGAATGAATGAAGAGCTCTGTTTCATGTTCCTCAGCGTGATGGAGACGGAGACGAATGCTGGAGGAGCAGATGATGACCAGGCTCTGCTGGAGCGCCTGGCCAAGAGAGAGGAGCGCAGGCAGAAGAGAATGAAGGAAGCTATGGAGAGGCAGAAGGAGCTGGGCCCCACCAGCAACTGCACAGACAGCTCACAGGAGGAGCAATCCTCCATCAGCCGCCCAGAGAAACGTCCACAGGACAAAGAGGAAATGGAGGAGGAGACACAGGCCCCCCAGGAGGTAACAGATACTGACACTTACTTTTTAAAGAGCAAGGACAACGATAAAATGGAGGATGAAAAAGCATTAGGAACTTTTTAAAAAGTTTCCCTGCCCCACCGTTAAGGTCTAAGGGAGTGACAATAAATAGACCTTTGGAGGAAAATAGCAGCATGGTGAAAATAATTAGTTTTCTTTATAAATAGAGTTAACATGAACGAGAAAACTAGCCGCAATGTATGACATATGTTTACCCCATTTTGCACAATTAGAAATGTATATATATGTTTTTTTAAATGACTGCAAGAAGTAATGATCGCTTATCTCATAGGAGGAGGAAGAGAAAGATGCACCAACAGAGGTGGATGCTGAGCAGCCCAATTCAGAAAGTAAAGAGGCTCAGGAGGAACCAGTAACCGATGCTGACACTGTGGAAGAGGAAAGAAAGAGGAAAGAGGAAGAAGATCATCAGCAAAACGAAATGCTAAGAACTGAAGAGGAAGAGGAGGAAATAAGGAAAATGGAGGAAAAACTCCAGCGGGAGGAGGAAGAGAGACAGCTAAGAGAAGATGAGGAGAGGAAAAAGAGGGAAGAAGAAGAAGAAAAACATCGAGAGGAGGAGAGGAAGAGGAGGGAAGAAGAGAAACATGAAATGGAAGAGAGGCTTAAAAGGGAGGAAGAAGAAAAACAGAGACAAGAATTGGAGGACAAAATGAAAAGGGAAGAGGAAGACAAGCAGAAAAGGGAAATGGAGGAAAGAAAGAGGAAAGAGGAAGAAGAGAAACAGAAAAAACTAATGGAAGAAAAACAGAGAAAGGAAGAAGAGGAAAAACAAAAAAAGGAGATGGAGGAAAAGAAGAAAGAGGAAGAAGAAAAACGTAAAAAATCACTGGAGGAAAAGAGGAAAAAGGAGGAGGAAGAGAAGCAAAAGAAAAAAGAGCAGGAGGAGAAGAAGAAAAAAGAAGAGGAAGAGAGGCGAAAAAGGGAGATGGAAGAAAAGAAGAAAAAAGAGGAAGAGGAGAAGCGTAAAAAGAGAGAGATGGAAGAGAAAAAGAAGAAAGAAGAGGTACTTTTTTACTTACTAACATTTTTTTCCAAAAATAACCACTTAAATAATAATGAGACAAAAACACAGAAGTAATGCCCTTACAAGCATTTCATGTAACTGGGAGAGACATTTGACAGATGGAGTGTTTTCTAAGATGTCCATTACTTGTCATTCCTTTGTGTCCCACTGTGTCAGAATTATTGACTTTTTAACCATTGTGTACTTTTATTTGCATGCTGTTGGGTATGACATTTTTTTATTCTCACTTTCTGTCCTCTCTGCTCCAAGGAGGAAAAACAGAAGAGGTTTGGGTTTAAGGAGAAGGTAACTCAAAGTAACTGTCCAGAAACATACATCCTCTTTTCTTTAAAGGAAGATTTAAAAAAATCTAACTTCTATTCTGTCCTCTTGCAAGAGTGAACCACAGAAACAGAACGGAGCATTCTTGGAAAACAGGTTTAAGAAAACCGAGAGAACAGAGAAAACTTCCAGGTAAATCCTCAAACATCTCATCTTCAGCAATATTTACACATGTCAGACATGGCTATGATTTTATGTTTGGTGGGATCCCAAACAGGCTGTAAAGTGACATAAACATGTGTGTACATGATAGTAAAAGGTGGTTTTAAACATTGTGATGGGATTTATCGTCAGTAACCTATGGCAGTGAGTTAATGTGGATAACCATATATATATATATATATATATTTTACTTTGGAATGACTTAGAGTAGCCATTTAAAAACATTTTAGCATGCCTTACTGTTTGCTTGCAAGCAGGGATAACATTCCTTCCAATAAGTCTGAAGATGTTGAGCGACGGGAGGCTGAGCGTAAGCTGCAGGAGCTGAAACAGAGACGAAACAACGCAGAAAGTGAGGAGTTTGAGAAGATGAAGCAGAAGCAGCAGGATGCTGAGGCCGAGCTGGAGGAGCTGAAGAGGAAGCGAGAGGAGAGGAGGAAAATCCTGGAGGAAGAGGAGAGGCAGAAGAAACAGGAGCTGGAGGAAAAGAAAGCCAAAGAGCAGGTTAGAATGTTCTTCACATCTAGGAGAGAATTAAATACGGTTAATCTCATCAAAGAGTTATATTTTCCTCCAAGAAATGGTTTAAAATTCCAAAGAGACCTCGCCCTCCTACAGGGAATTCAGTTTCCACCTAACAACAATCTTTTAATTTAAAAAACAGGAGGAGAGAAAGAGAATGAAGGAAGAGATAGAGAAAAGGAGGGCAGAGGCTGCAGAGAAGAAGAAACAGATGGAGGAGTCCACTAAACCTGCTTTCACTATCAGCCCCAAAGGATCCTCAAAGGTGAGTTTGGAAGGGAAGGTTAGTGAAAACAAGAAAACAAAGTACTGTTGATTATCGACACAGATTTTCATTGTGAACTTTTTCATACCCCCCAAAAAGAAATGTTTGAAGCTTGTTTCCCTTTCTCTCTCCCCCTTTCAACCATGTTGTGTCTCATATAGATAGGGGAGAAAGCAGAGTTCTTGAGCAAATCAGCCCAAAAAAGGTCAGCCATACAATGTTAAAAGATATTTTTAAAATGAATTATTGATGAATTGACAAGTGCCTGGTTCCCTAATTAAGTCCCAGCATGCTTTACCTCTGTGCAGCACCCCCAAAGTGTCGCACACTCCACTCGTCCCAAAGATTGGCAACAGATTGGAACAGTTTACCTCTGCAATTCAGGTGAGAGTAAACATACAAAATGTAAATATATATATATATTTTTTGTATAACACACACATAATTATACACATATGTGTATATCTCTTCCATCACACACATTGTATTAAAAAACTGATAAATCTTTCCAATTTTAAGCATCAATAATGAGTTCAGCCAGGGTTTTTTTTTGTATTTCCCTCTGATATGCACAAAAAATATGAAGGATGCAAAAATGAAACAAAGCAAATACCTTGTAAACACACTGAAACTATTACAATCACAGAACACAACTTCAGCAGATATGACTTTTCATTCAGTGGCCCGCTCTGTTTGCGGCGCCGTGCGTTGCCGTGTTTCATAACCAGAATTCAATGTTTTTTGCTCCGCAGGGAAATAAAGAAGTAAAATCCCCCAAGTCTCCTCTGGCAGACATTCCCACAGGAGGCACGCGCAACATGAAAAGCATGTGGGAGAAAGGCAACGTCGGCAGCTCTGCTGAAAGCCCTGCTCCTGCCAACAAGGTAACGGGGGAAAATGGAGGCTCTGGTGGATTCTTCCAACACCTCAGTGAGCGTCAAACATGCGTCACCCCTAAACTCTTTTTCTCTCAGGATGTTTCTGGCCTCAGGGGAGGCGTGTCTGGACGGGTCAACAGTTGGATGGCGAAACCTCCAGAGGAAGAGAAAGGTGTCCCATCAGCCCCAGCTGCAGCAGCAAAGCCGGCAGTAAGGCCTCCCAAATCCTTTTCTTTATCACGCACACGCACACACTATCGCCAGAGTAATCCCTCAATATTCTGTGCACGCTAATGGGCTCTTTTGCACGCTAACATGCCAGTTTTTTTTGTTGCTGGCCTCGGCCTCTGGAGCTGAGCTCCGGAATGATACGACACAGCTACCTGGAGTCCAGTGACACCCCGTGGGCCCTTTACTGAACAGCACACAAAAACCTTTGGGGAAATGTCGCTCGCGTCGTTTAAATGGACCGGGAACTTAAACGTTTAAGGTGTCCACTCTGAGAAAAAAGGAAATCCCTTCCCAACTTTCGCAGACAGCTGCTCCAGCAGAAAGGGACCGGCCACAGCAGCTATGCGTCCGGTGGCTGAATGCCAGCATGCCCTCAGTCTCCACCCCTCTATACATCAGTCACCGCGTCCCCTGTGTTACATTGTTTTACAAATCATGTACACAAAATGATTCTAATCCTTGCTTTTAATTGCTCCTGTATCTATTTTCACGGTGACGCCAAACTTCTGAGAGTCCTCAAATATGGAGATTTGATCGTGTGACAAAAAACAACAACAATATTGTAGACCCTAAATGATTCGTTCATTTGACTCACAATCACATAGCAAAGAAAGATAACAGCGGTCACTTGTAAGCAGGTAGCTCGTGGACATTGTGTCCTCTTCTTGAGGCTGGCCACCAGCTGCCAGGCCCCACCGGGGCTTCTGGAGACATTGCACCATGTTCACATGCGCCACCGTTTCCCGATGACATGTGACATTGTTCTGAAGCATAATTTACGGGGGAGACGTCTCTGGTGTCAAACGTCTGTGCCAGAGATGCGTTTTCGAGACTTGCGGTTACTTTTGCAGCAATGCTCCCCTCTGATGGGGCTAATCTGTACAGCAGTCGAAAGCACGCGGAAATGTGTGGATTTCTGCCAGTATTTCCCGTGTTTCTGCGCTGTTCTGTACCATTCTCTCCTGTTCTTTCGAGTAAAGTCTACTCTTTCTTACGACTGTCCTCCGTGAAAATGTTTTCTGCTTACCTTTTCTGCGATTGTGCTGTTAAAGGTGCAATTTTGCCTCTATTCTTGACCCGAAACATTGTGAACATGTGTTGGATTTACATACAAAATGGAAAATACATCTACTAAAGTACAATAATTAACATTTGAGACATTTTACCGTAGTGCATTAATAAGGTGCTCCCTCTCCCTAAGTTGTCAGAGGGGAAATATAATCGTTTTCATCACTGTGAAAACATTAAATCATGTAATAACATGCATGGCCATCACCATTCAGTGGCTATGAACCTCTACCAGACCTTTTTTATTATTATCAAATGTTCAGATTTAACTGTTTAGATGAGTGACTGGGGATAATTTCAAAAGGTGAGAGGGACAGGACAGACATCCCTTCTGATTTCGAATTAATACATTTTCACATCCCTGAAAAAAAGAGGAGGAAAAATAACTTTTACCAAGCATTTCGATCGTTTCTTGGATCTCATCATGGGACTGACGGCCCTCTGGTTCTTATATGTGGCAGGATGTGAAGCCAGGTGACGTTGGTAGCAAGCGTGGCATGTGGGAAACTAAGAGGGGCTCAACACCAGCCAAGGTAACACACAGATACACACAGACACACACACACACACACGCGCGCGCACACACACGCGGACACCTTCTGTGAAGAGCCAGAGGTAAAGGCTTTGAAGGATTAACTGTGACATTGTTTTGTTTCGTTTGTTTGTTTCATTCAGTTCACCTAATAGATGAGTGGAAGAGGTAATTTGTGGAAATGCTGCAGCTACTCTCTGCACACCTCACAGCAGGCATGACGTGCTGGATTTGTGATATTTAACACAGAGTCGCTTTCAGCGTGCAAATAGATACACTTGTTTCTCTTTCTGTCTAGCAATGAAATGTGTTAATCATTGACCTTTGATATTTGCTTGCATAATTTAGCTCTGTGAGGGCTACTCAGAAATTGGGTGGCTGTTTTCTAAGGTTGGTGAAGGGGAAGGTGTTAGCTTTTTTGTGGTTTAAAAAAAGAAAAAAAAGTAAGACTTCACTGTACACTCAAATTACTAGAATGTCTCTTAAATGAGGATCGATTTCCAGATCGTAAATTGCTATTCTTGAAGCAAAATGGAAAATGCATTTTATTTGAGAAGACGTATCAGAGATTTTTTTTTCACTTCTATTTTTTTTTTCACCCTCTCACGCACAGCTACACCTGATGCAGTGGCTCTGGATTCTTTTTCTGTGTGATGTAGTTTAGCATTTTATAAGATGTGTTGTTCTTTTATAAGATGTGTTGCTCTTTGTCATAGTCGACAGGGTTCTTATGTCATTGAGAGACATTTTATCCAAAACTTTCACATGCTCTGATAGCTGTTGCATTGAGGACACATCGAAGTGCATGTGCTTATGCTCCAGTTGTTTGCCTTCAGCTGGCAGTGCTGTGAAAAGTCTCTGTGATTTTTATTCCTGGACTTCACATGAGAGTTTCTAAGAATGCATCGTTAATAATTCAGAAATCTTAAACTATGTCTTGCTTTTAGAACACCCGCCTGCTCTGTGATCTGTTATTTTCTGTTCAGTCCATTATTAGAATACAAAAACCCTTCCCAAGTAACCCTGTTTTTGAACCCTGTTTTTATATGACAGAAAGAGGAGAAAGAAATCAGCTTTCCTCAAGTTGATTTATAATGACCCTTCTGAACTTGAGAAAAGACACAGCAGTTTAATTCCTTTTTTTTTATATTTCCCCACCCTTTTTATACTTTATTCCCTCATGTTTCCAGGTGGCAGTTGGAGGGAAGAACAAGTTTGTCAGTAATGGTGAGTGTCTGAAACTCGTTTAGCAAAGTACATTTAGCCATCTGCCGTAATTACACTTCTCAGATTTTCTGCATTAGCTGCGCTGATGCTCGAGAGAAAATGACCATAAACCAGTGGCATGGCCTCTGTGATATAATTCTGATCTTAACTTTATAGATGCATAACAAATGATGTTACATTGATGCATCAAATAGCATCAATAGAAACTATCAGGACAAACAAACATCTCATTAGAGGGCAAGAATTAGGTTACAGCTTGCTGCTTGTTAATCCAGTGGCTGCTAAATCTATTTTAAAAAACCTCTAAAGTAATTTCGGACAGCTATTTAATGTTTTCCCTCGCTGACCTACTTCTTGGGTTCATACAGGTTACTTCGTGGCAATTGGGTCTAAGACAGAAATGATAAGCCCTTTCTCCTTCTGGATTACTCACTTTAGAAAAGGTTCTGAATGTTTCTTCCTGTGAACGTGTGCATACTGCTGGTTAAACCAGGGTTTTTTATCTTGATCCGTCCTGATTGAAGCAGGGTTTACATGAAGGGTGTATGTCCTTCATTTCCTGAACAAGGAGAGGGGGCTTTGAGTGATTTATAGCCAACAGGGGGCTCATAACTGCTGCAGGCCGCCGGCCGTCCTTTGTGCCGCGGGGGCAGCTCACTGTAAATCAGATCCGCCGCTGGAGATTTTTGGGCACCGACTCAGCTCGGTGGCACCAAGGTCTATATTTAAAAACCGTCACCATGACCTTGTTTCCCATTATAAAGAAAGTTCCAGGCTCCCGACATAGCTGTCGTGGTTTTGCCATGCAGTGTTCGCCCATTGCCACTTGGATTGTCATGCGGAGAGTCTTTGAGCTGTCAGGCATACCAGAGTGTAGCTACTTGATTTTCACATTACAAGGGAGTGCTGGGGAGGATTACTAGCTGTTTGAGCTGCAAATCGGACTCGATCGGCAGGCTTACGCACTCAGTGGCTAATGATTAAGTCTCAACGGGTGCCTCCGGGGAGAGAGACAGGAGGCATTCCGATGTTTTCCACTCCAAACGACGAGGGAAAAACACAATTTGACTTTGGCTGTTGTTGGTGCGTTAAAGCTGCCACATGAAACCGCTCAATGTTCAGGCCGGAGTTTGAACAATATGAATGGAAAAGCATTTGTCGAGTATCAGCTTCATCCCTAAATAGCGGCCCCTTGTTTGTAGCCCTCCGGCTTCTTCATGCGAAATGGACAGCTGAGGAATGGAGTGAAGGGCAAATGACAATGTGGCAGCTCTCAATCACAAAGAAGCGCCACAGCAGTGTGCTTGTCCACGGCTCCAACTCTGAGTCTGGCCTACAGACGCACCAAAGTCCACATCCACACGCAGCAAAATGGAAAATTCAGAGGAGTAGTAGGGCTGTAAAAGGTTTTGATTAACAGCCCCTTCAGTTAATCTCGGTCAACACCTAATAAACTTTAATAAGTCGACATGGCAACATTGATGGATGCAGAGACTAATAGATCACCGATTCATGTCAATCTTCAGGTACGAGACCCTGACCAGCGACTTCCCCAACCAGGCCTTACCTGACCGGACCGCAGACCTCCATCCCCCCTCGCCACACCCAGAATTCACGTGGTCCCCTCCCCCTGAATGAGGGTCCAGGTTGAATCACACAAACTTCATCTTCCAGCTTCCTCTCTATTGTACGAGTAGCTTTGCACTGTTTTAGGTTAGCCACCCTTTTTAGATTGGTGTCGATGTGCTTTACTTAGGCCGAGATTGACTGTCTGTGCAAATAGTTATCGTAATGACATTGTCTCATAGTAGCAAAGCTTTTTTTTCATGACAACCAGTAAACTTAAAATATGAAAGGATGATAGAGAACTTATTTGGTTTTTTATCAAACCCCTTTTGAGCTCACAGCCGTGACGGTTTGAGAGTCAATAACTAAACACAAAGTTAAGTCATAAATGTATGTTTTCGTATGTTGCTGTTAATGTAGAAGCACAAACTGAATTTTGTAATAGTGCCTGAAATTGTTATCCAGCTGCCGCGCATAGCTAAGCTCACTGCAGAAGTCTTCAGTCCTTCAACAGAGAGGAGGCCTTTTTATATGAGCCTGAAATAATCACAAAATGTATTTATGTGAAACTTCTTTGGCATAAAAAAGTGAAAAAGAAACATGTTAAGACACTGAAATCTTTTAAACAAAACAAAAGAAAAGTAAGATAAAAAAACTCTACTGCCTTATAGATCACCTACCTTATATAAGTTTCCATAGATTTTATTCAGCAACAACAGCTTAAGAATTCCCTGGGAAGATATTCATATTCGATCTTCCTGTCAAACCACAGAGATGTGTCCACGAACACTTTAGTGCATTCGGGTTTTGATACTGTTGGCCTCTAGCTTAGCATTAACCCAGTTACAAGTGCCAAAGCTTCAATTGGATACACTGCCTTTATTCCTGAACAACACCACTCAGCCAGATGCTGAGTGATAAGCCTGTATATAATGAAATAAGTTTCCGATTTCTGCTCAGATATTTATAGATCTGTTAGAGGCCATAAATTGGAACAACTCTGCCAAGACATGAGAAGACATCTCTGATGGCAGTTTACTCTTTTTGCGCTGCTTTTTAATGAGTACAGCACCTAACTTCTTTGGGACTACTCAGTTTTGGGAACAAATGTACTTTGGGCTTTCTTTCTACCTGTTACTTCACATCTTCACAGCGACATTTACTGGCCGGCTTTCCTTCAAAGTCGTATGGACGTTACTGTGAGCTATTTTCAGATTAATTCATGTGGTCAACATCTTTAATATTTCTAGCACTGCAGTGTAGGAGCAAATACAGGCATCACTAGTGATAGTGCATGTGTTTATATTTAGGGAACTTTTAGCATGCAAAGAGGGAATGGAAACTGTTGTACACTGAAAATGCTAATCATTTATAAAGAATAATCAGTACAGTATTACAGAGCTGAAAGCTTAATTTATCTTAAATTCATTTTTTAAAAACTAGCAACCTAAATGAGTTATTGAGTCATAGTTAAAACTATAAGTGTGATGTGCAGTTACAAAAAAACAGTTTAACACTTTTTAAGATGGCACTCTCTTCCCCAGACTAAAGCTAAAAAGCTGGTCAGTGCAGCATCTCTTTAGAAAACTATGAGTTTGTTTCATCTTTGGCTCGTTTCGATTAAACATTATATAAACTTTGTAATCATTTCTATAACCAAAGCTTTATTTGACAAGCAGGTGATGGTTTTTTGCAGCCAAGACGTTCTGTTTTTTTCTTAAGGCCTCTTATTAAGGATATTGTGTTGTGAATCCATCTGTACTGTTGTGTTGTTTGACAAAATGATTGGCTTTAGCAATTAAAATGCTTTAAAAAACAAAAACAAGTTTGCGCTGCAGTTGTGTTACTTTATTTTTACCAAGTGAGACAAAATGTTGCTCCTCCTAACCACCAATGAAATTATGGGCTGCTGAAACCAGAGTGGCTGGTGAAAGGCTGAACGGATATATGTCATTTTACCGAGGGAGGAATGCACCTGCAGAATGCACGTCTGTGTGTGTCTGTGTGTGTCTGTGTGTGTGTCTGTGTGCGCTGATGAGCCAGTGAGACACGGCGCTCTGATCTCCAGCTGCCTAACAATAGAGCGCTCAGCTATAGGGTGCTGCGGTCACATGAGGAGGAAGGGCTGGGCTATGTATCCTTGATGCTCAACCTGATTGTGAACCTCAAGGAGCTGAAGTCTGTCTCTCTCCCCGTCCTGTCTGGGTCATAGGTAAGAACCTTCTGATATAAGCCAATAAGTGTGGGGATAATAACAGTGCTAACATGTGTTTAGCTGCACATTTAGAAACCGTGTGAAAAACATTGCCTGACTTTTCTGTTTGTTTGTGTCATTGGATCCTGCTGAATGAAAACTTGTGGTGCTCCCTGCTTGCTGTTATCTCTCACAGCCTCAGTCCCTGTCTAACTGCAATACCAGACATGGCTGGACTCTTTTTAAATGGCTGCATTTACTTGGGCACTTGTATTTGCTGGCAGATCAATAAATAAATCATTTGTGATGTAATTCTCTTCAGTTTGATTCCATTTATTTTTTACCCCCCAAACATTGATGGAAAATGTGATAATTTTGTTTCATTACATACTTTATGTGGGTACAAATTTAAGGTACTTAGCACAAGTACGTGAGCTTGTGCATACTTTAAAAAAAATCCCTATTTAATAAGTTTATGTGTGTTTCATTCAGTTAAATTCTAAGTAATATTTCACTATCCTAACAGCAGCTGCTACAGTTTGTCTGCCCCCCCCAAAAAATTACTGTTAACACAGTCATAGAATCCTTTTTGATGATAATTTCAGCCTATTCATTTTCAAACAATACTAATTGAAAACAAGCTCTGTGTTTGACTTTTCCTAAAACATTACTCTGCCTCCGTTGCTGGGGCAATAAAACTTTGAATGCTTCTTTTAATTTCACAAACACAGAGAAGAGACACTTAGTTCAGCACTAATCCTCATCGCATGCACAGCTCGTTTTTAATGATCATAAATATGTGCCGGTGTAAATATAGTCTGATGGCAATCCATTTTGCAGAGCTCATCTGTCACAAAATGTCTGACACAGAAGAAGTCATGGAGGAGGGAGTTCAGTATGTAGTCATTTTTACATTTTGGCCTCCTCACAAATAAATTGCAACACTTGTCCAATAAGGGTAACATTACTTGGGTAAAGTATATTGTTAATAAATTATAATAATGATAATACAAATATTATTTTTCTCCTCCTTCTGTGGATTCTGCCGGGTCTTTCTGAAGAGAGGGTGAAGGTAAGTAAGTTGCATCACCTCTATAGTAAGAAAAAACAGCTAAGAATAGTTATTAACTACTTAATCACATCCATTTATATCTATGCATACCCCAATAAATTTCTAGACACATATCAAAGAACAGATATGAGGCGCTCCTTGCTGTAAGTTCCTGATGCAGCAACACAACAGCAACAGCAAATAGTGACAAAGGGTTGGAGAACAGTGTTATGTTCCTCCTTGTCAGCTTGCCCTCTCATATGTTTGCTCTGATTCTGCTCTGTGACAGCCTCTGTTGGCAGAACAGAGGTGTGTCAGCATGCCATCAGCTTTCCCCGTTCCACACTTTACACACAAGACGCCGATGCTCAAATCCAGCTGCATCTTTAACCAGCTGTGTGTCTGAAGCTGCCGCCGCCAAAGATGACTGGAAAAAAAACTGAACTAAAGCACAAACGTGCAAATTTATGTTGTTTCCTTAATAATCTGGATCAGTCAACGTCACTTCAATGATGACACCATATGACACCATAGTTACAGGAGTGTGTGTGTGTGTTTGTTTAAAGCATATTACCTGAACCAGCTCGTTTCTATTCCTATCATTCAGTAAGTTTTCTCAGAAAATTTAGCAGTTTAAATATTTATTTTGGGATATCCCACGCAACTTCAATTTTGTTCAGTTTGGTTGATATGCAAAAAAGATTTGAGACAGACCCTGGGGAACTTCCTAGTTGAACGTATGTGGATGACAAGTTTCTTGTCTGTAGTTACTCTAACATCATGATAGTCTAAAAGCCATCTGAAAAACCTTTATTCAAGGACCAGAGAAGGATTTCAATCAGTGACATCTAATCTGGAATCTCTGCATCTATTTTAAAGGATTAGTCGATGTCTAAGTAAAATACAATAAAATTATTAGATTTTCAGATGATCAGTTTCGGTCACTGTTTGAAAGACGATCAGGGCCTCCTGTAGGATGCACTTACTTTTTTACAGCTATAAATGTCTTCCGCTCGTGAGTCTAATACTAACAACTTTTGTTTTTATCTTTTTCCAGATGAATCAAAGCCCAAGCCAAAGTAAGTGCCTCAGCTCCTCTGTAACTAAGCCGTTCATACTCCATAATTATGAAGATATGTGGCATAATAAACTGTTCAAATCAACAGGTTTATGACCAATATTGCGGCCCCAAAGATCCCCGATGGCGATAAAGTGGACTTTGACGTGAGTCTTTCTCACTGGACGTCCCATTCTTGACAGAGATGTAAAACTGCTTTCCCATCAGCCAAATATCGATCAATCTGAGCTCCTTACGTGACATTTCTGGTGGCAGGACATTCACAGGAAGCGCCAGGAGAAGGATCTCTCTGAGCTGCAGTCTTTGATTGAGGCTCACTTCATCCAGAGGAAAAAGGAGGAGGAAGAGCTCATCGCCCTCGTGAACAGAATTGTGAGCATTTCGGTCTGAGAGAGGTCACACTAAACGCGGGCTCGGAAACCCAAACCGAACATTAATTTGCCCGTTCTGTGTGTGTTCTTAGGAAAAGCGCCGCGCGGAGAGGGCCGAGCAGCAGAGAGTCAGAGCTGAGAGGGAGAAGGAGAGGCAGGCCCGGCTTGCGGTATGGTTTTTTTGTGCACGTGGTCTTACCTCTGCGTTCGATCGCACAGGAAATGTGGGGCGAACCGTGATTGGTCTGTAACACACGCAGGAGGAGAAGGAGCGCAAAGAGCAGGAGGAGCAGCGCAAGAAGTACGATGACGACGCCAAGAAGAAGAAGGCCCTCACGAACATGACCCAGCAGTACGGTGCTGGACATAAGGTCATTCAGCTTTTAGTGGACCATAGAAATAATACGATCAGAAGGCCGTTTTTCATATTTTCACGATGCAGATCACCTTAACATGATTGAAACTTTAAATTCAAAAAACAATTTTAGAACTTTTACTAAAGTGAAATACTAATTACCACTTGAGCCCACTAGTTTTTTCACTCAACAGTAAAGAACTCACAAAACCATCTAGTTCCCCTTCACTTTCAGATCTGTGTTTTTTTCTTTTGCTTGACTGGCACAGAACGAGAACAGGAAAGGAGCCAAGAAACAAACTGAGAGGGAGAAGAAGAAGAAGATCTTAGCCGAGCGCAGGAAGGCCCTCAATGTTGACCACCTGGGCGAGGACAAACTGAAGTAGGACTCCGCTCTGTTGCCGGTGCCGAATGAGGAGCCCTGGCGTCAGCCGTGGGTTTTCCAAAGCAGTAAGGCTGGTGTGTGTGTTCAGGGAGAAGGCCGGCGAGCTGTGGCAGTGGCTGATGGGGCTGGAGGCTGAGAAGTTCGACCTCAGCGAGAAACTCAAAAGGCAGAAATATGATGTAAGTCAGTCACGCTTCTTTTCAAACCTACAACACTGATGTAGGACACGGTAAAGCAAGATATTATATGAATACTGGCTTTTTGAAGATCCGGGATTCTTCAGAACCCCCCTAAATAATAGTTTCCTACACTCTTTGAATATGCTTGTGTCTTTATAGATCAACCAGCTTCTTGCCCGAGTTCAAGACCACCAGAAGTAAGTGCACAATGAACTTTTATTAGAAAGAACCAATGCTTGGTGCCGCTTCCTATTACTTCCAAATTGTGTCTTATCAAGTGATAAAATGCATCAAAGGCAACACAGAAAAAAATGAATTTGACTTTTCTTTGAGAGATCAGTCAGAGAAGGCATCGCAGTTCTCTCTGAAATGTGATCCTTCTTCATCCATCCATTCATTTTCTGAACCGCTTATTCCCAAATGGGGACGCGGGGGGGACTGGAGCCTAACCCAGCATTCAGTTGGCGAGATTCGGCGTATTCTTCTTCATCTGTACCTAAATCACCTAATGAGAGTTCTCCTATAACCCTGCACCAGCATTTTCTAATCATTGCAATTCTGAACTAAACAACATAGCGTGGAGAAAAAAAAGGGGCTTTGTAGTCTTTGCTCCATAAGTGACTAGGAAGAGGATACAAAAAGACCAAGAATGTCAAGAGACCATAAAAACCTTTTGCACATTTATTTTTACATCACCACATTAAAACCTTTTAAAGCAGAACCCTCTCTGCTTTTACCAGGAGAGCTGAAATACATCCTCATGTTTGTTTTAAGCGTGAAACTTAACTGTGTTTTTACTGCATCTTTTCAGTGCCAAAGGTCGCGGTAAAGGCAAGATGAGCGGGCGTCTGAGGTAAAGCTGCAGGCAGGAGGAGGAGAGGCAGGCCCCTGTGTCTACAGTGACTGTGTTCTCTGATCTGTTGTGTTGGGCTATGTGTCAATCATCAAGAAATCCAAGCAAATAAATAAATCCCTTCACCCACTCTGAAGCCTCTCTGCAAACCATGTTGATTGTCTTTTGTGTGCGTTTCTCCGAAACACTGTACAGCACAGTGGCATTTCATTTAAAAAAAGAAAAGAAATTAAAGCTGAAATGCTATAAAATGTGTCTGATTTTTCTCCATGTATATACAAAAATAATACTGTGATTAATAGGCCAAAAAATAGGCCAAAAATACATATACAAGGTTTCAATTAGCGGTAAATTTTGTTCTTTGGGAAACATAATAAGGAGAGGTTCTACATGTTCGATACAGTTTTGTTATTTCTAGCTTTAATATAATCTACAATAAGAGCAGACATTCCTCAGCAGTGCTCCACACAGAGGTGATGCACAACATGATCAATATATTTATCATTTAAGTTAGATTATGAAAAATATAATAATCCAGAACAGGAGCTCGCGTGGTTCTGCCAAAAAAGGGGTGGCTCCTTTTTATTCCCAGTCCTCCTTATTATTCTGTACATTAAAACTATGGTTAGATATCCACATATCCACATCAGTGCATTTTCAAGCTGGCTCGACAGTCTGAGGAGCTGCAGGACTCTGGGGGCTGGTCCATGAAAACGGGGGTCCGTGAGGCCTGACCAGAGGGGTCCCTCACCACATGTGGGTCTCTCGGATCTCAGCTATCACCTGGCTGGCCTTCTGCAAAGCCTGAAAACACAGGTGATAAAGGTCTCATCTTCCTGACTCAGTGTTTCAGGTACGTGTACAAACTGTTTGGACATCCAACAGAACATTTTTAAAGCATCTAGAACATGAACAGCTAAAGACTAGATGAACAGTGTTCTTGGTTTACTGCAAAAAGCTTCATAGAGATCTTCCTAACATGAACGGGGACTTGATGCTCCTCTGGATTGTATATAAAAAAAGCATATGTGAAAAGTAACAAATTGTTGATGAGCCGCGTTTGACTGACAGCGGCTCTTGTTTCCGTGGTGACGTGTAAAGAATGCGTCACCTTCAGCATGTCGGCGGCTTCGTTGCGTCTCTGGGCCATGTCCTCAGACTCTGTCAGCAGGTCGTTCAGCAGGCTGCTCTTGTATAACTGACCCACTAGCTCGCTCTGCAGGCAGTCCTTGACGTGGTTCACCAGGAAGTGCATCACCGCCTTTGGTACACTGCGGCCACAGGACAAAATGTTGGGGACAATCCGGTGCAGAGGGGCTGATCGGGTTAGCGTTTCAGCGTTTGCTCCATGCGAAATGCAAACGCTGATCAGTAATGCCGACTTTGCGTACCTGTCTTGGATATTTTTTCGCACAATAAGGAAATAGGACTTGATGAGTCTCTCGATGACCTCACAGTCCCTCTGCTCCCGAGCAGACAACTTTCTGGAGACTGGAACAGGCTGGAGACGACGAATCAACATGTTAGAGGAACATATGATACATATAAACTGCTGGCGGTGCAGATGATATGAGGCCAGCAGATTCCTCTGAAACCTTTTAATTCTGTGGCTTTTAGTCTCATATTCTAGTCTCATCATATTCCAAAGAAAAACAGCAATCTCAATCTTGCCTGGATTATCAGCAATACTGAATTTAAATAACAGGATCAGATTACCATTCTAAGATATGAAACAGCTGGTCACCTGAATCAATTCCAACCATTTGCAGCTCTGTGAGAGGATTTACATCAACACTCATTGATACCCATATCATAATACTCCATCTATCCCTCCTTGTGCACTCCTGATACTGTTGGCCATGTGGCCCCTTTAAAGACCTGATACTTTGATGGAAAGGGGCATAACAATCATATCTAAATTCCCCAAAGAGCTTCAAGTGTTCATCCAGAAGACTGTTTTGCTAATGGACACTTTAGTTTAATTGTTTTGTTTTCTCAAACAGTGATGTCCTTTCTGGAGTGCGCTGCATATAGTTTTGGCTGAAAACACCCCTCCAAACATCCCAGATTAGTCTCTTTAGATATCTTCATCAGCTTTCTGAATGTTAATTTTAAACAAAACCACAAACGGAAGAAATAAGAGCAGATTTCTGACAGTATTGCTGATACTTTCACCTTGCCCCTCTGTAAACTTCTAACCCCAGATACCTCAACCTACCACATCCAGCAGGTTGACGGCATAGCCCCTCTGTGGACTTGTAGTCGGGGTGACCAGTTGCATGGTCCTGTCGCTCGTTGCCCCCTCCTCTCCCTTCCTCAACATTCCCCTCCAGTTGCCCATCCCTCCATCTCCCTGCTCACCAGGAGCGCCCTGAGAGCCGCTGGTTGCTGCCTACAAGAGATTGAGACATGACATATGTGTCACATATAATAAATTATATATATATATATACACACACACACACACACACACATACAAAGACATTAATTTGGCATTTAAAAAAATTTGCTAAATGGTTTCCCATGACAGCATGCCAAAATCTTGTTCCATTTAAAGGCAAAGAAGTTTATCCAAAACAGAGCTCATTCTCATGACAAGCAGAGATGAGTAAAAAAAACAAAAAACAGTTCAGAAGGGGGTGACACAAAGACACTTTTTTAACAGCTATATAAATTTGAAGATATCCTCCCTTTCACTGGCTTTAATGATCAGTTAATGATAAGTTGATCATTAAAAAATAGATCCCCCCAGCTTATATATCCATCATAAGATTGCACATTTCTATGTCTTTTAATAACATCATGATCACATCAAAACAAAAAAAGTTGAAATGGACAGAGGGTCACCTGACATTTCTTCTGTCAGATCAACCAACGTGATGAGAAAAAGAAAATTGGGAGTGATTTGGAACAATAGTCAAAGGTCAGATCAGGTAGGGGTAAAAACTGTGCTTCTAACCCCACACGTGGGGCATTGACAGCACCAGGGTTTGAGGGAGTCAGAGGTCACATGCAAGTTAAGCAGGCAGTTAGCAGAGAGGACACACCTTGGCCTCGCCCTCCATGGCTAGAGACTCGGTGGGGGAGAGAGACTGCCCACCGGGGCTTTTAAGGGACTACAGAAAGACATAAGGAGGAAAAGAATGGACAGGAAGCTACAAGCAGAGCAGAGTTTACAAAGGACAATTCGAAGAGATCTCCTGTACTACACTAAGTCTGCAGCTGGGCAAAATGGTTAATGCATGTCAAAATGAAACGATTCAAATAATGAAACTGATCCTCTGAAAAGCCTAACCTTAACCTTAACCCTAAATACCACACAAGGATAATTCAGTAAGGGCTCCAAACTCTGATGTGCTCTATTCTTATAGCAAAACCGGTGAAGTGAATAGAAAAATCAGCCCATGCACACTACACATCAGCTGTCATTCATTTTTAGTTTGGAGGCTCTGCCCTAATGAAATTTTGAGTCTTTAACTGCTGGTATAAATGTCAATGTTTCAGGTCCGGTTTAAGCGCTAAGTCGAGCAGCTGTTGGACAGAGAGCGTGTGCAGCTTGTTCTGAAACTGTGGCAGGGTGGAGGGCAGCGTACCTTGTCTCTGGGGACAGCAGGCGGTAGGTCTCTCAGTCTGTTCCGTCGTTGCTCCTACAGAAACACAAGTCTCATAAATGAACCGGCATAAATGGGAGGAGGAGCAAAGAAACAGATCCATCATTTGATTTTTCGCTGTTGGTCAAGGCCACTGAGGCCTTTGGATCCCAACCAAATACCATCAAGATTCTGAGTAGTGGAAAAACAGAACTGCATAAATAATTCTCCCAAGGCGAGAGTAAAGGTTTTTTTTTCTTACTTCCAGGTTATTGTTCATGAGGCCGCATGCATCAGCAAAGTCGGGGTGTTTGGTGTTGATGTAGGCCAGCTCAATGGCCACCAGGTTATGAACCTGCAAAGGCATGAGGCAAACACACTTATCAGACAGCTGCTTCCCCTAAAACTACCAGAGGGATTTGTGGGAGCGGGCCCGACCATTTCATTGGTGACGGGGAGCCTTTTTCTGAGAAGGGAGGTGACCACTTCCACGATGGCGTCGTGGAGTTTTGGGAACCTCAGCAGCTCCTGTGGAGAGGAGCAGATTTAGGATTTCCTTCCATCCTTCCTCAGCGGGGCTTATTCCAGGCGCGTGTGGGAGCGTCTCTCCCACCTGTGTGCTGTAGTTGCTGCAGTGCTGGATGATCCGCTGCATCTCCTCATGGACGAGCTCCACGCAGCGCAGGCTGGGCTCCTCCAGACGCTTGACCTGCCGTTTCACCAGCAGCTCGAAGGAGACCTCAGGCACGAATAAGGCAGGCCTCGGGCCCTGTCGGAGGAATTCCACCAGTGAGCTTTCGACATGCTTTTGAGAAACAAAAAGCCTTAACACAGAGAGGAGGGAGGACTCCCACCGTTGCGTTTCTGATGGCCGTCAGCACGTCGATAGTGGTCAGGCCGCCCAGAGGATCCACGGACTCCAACGTGCGACCGAACGTCTCGTGAAATATATAACAGATTCTGGCTCCACCGCATCTTAAAGACAGAAGGAGACCTTGTTTAAACACGCGGGCAGAATTAGCTTCCAGCTGCTTGTTGAGGGCTGAGTGGAGTAGAGGGGCCAACAGCGCCCCTCAGTGGTGCACGAGGGCGCGTGCAGCTCAGTGGGTTGCGTAACTCACAGCTCGGCCGTCTCGATGTACTTGGCCGTGCCCTCTATGGTGTGGCAGTACTCTGCGGCAAACTTGGTGATAAGCTGCAGCAACGTGGCGCTCTTATCTTCCACCGGCTCGCCGTAGCTGTTCAGCAGAGACTGGTACTGCGAGGCCAGAACATTGATCCTCGTCTTCAGCTCAGGAAGGCAGTCTCTGATGTGGTGCATCAGTAACCTGTTTTTATAAGAGAAGTGCTTTTTTGTCGGTATCACAAATGTCTGAAACGTCTCCCGTCATGCCTTATAAACAGAAACTATCTATTTTAAGTTACCTATTTAGTGTCCTTGCCAGAAATTTGGTTCCATTTCTGTTTGCCAGAGAGGGGTACTTCTTTTGTAAGAAGGCATATTCATCGCGTATAGAATCAGCCACTGATTTCTTCTGATTGATATCCAGTTGACTCCTGAAAAAATAAAAAGCACAAAACCATTTTAAGAGGGTTTCGATCCAAAGAGCTTCCCTTCTATCTTAACACCACTGCCCACAGTGTGACTTCTTTTTGAGCCCCACATCCTGCAGGAATACCTGTTAACGACGCCAATGATACCCAGTTTGACAGGGATGACTCTGCCCATCAGCACATCCATGGCATCTGTGCCAGCATCCATTAGGTCCAGCTTGGTCACCACAGCGAGCGTCCTCCTGCCTGAAGAGAGAGACCCGTTCAGCTAATTACACACTCTGCCGAGGCACAGGGTGTAAATGTAAATAAGGGAACCGCAGGAAGCGAAAGGAAATGAGAAAATGATGGCATTTACCATCTGGGTCAACCTCCCGGGCCACTTTGAGAGCCTCTGACGTCGCCATGTCTGTGTTGGCAGCCGTCACAGCCAAGATGATGGAGTTGGGGTTGGATATGTATTTTACAATCAGCTCTCTGATCTGGATCTCTATGTCTTTGGGCTGGTCTCCCACAGGCACCTGGTAAAAAAAAAAGAAAAAAAAAAGACATCTAGGCCTCATACTATGACAGAAATCAACATTTCATATATTATTCAATATCATTTAAATGTTAAAAGCAAAAACATGGTTATTTACACAGGTAAACACAATTGACAACTGGGAGACTATTTTCTCTCACAAGAATTGAGGGAACTCTTGAGATCGACAATGCAAGAGGGAGCAGATCAATGAGCAAGTTACAAAACTGCACACACAAACTTACACACTAGTATTTAAAGATAAATTTAATGAGAGGCACAATAAAACTTTCAACAATGTCTATCTATATATATATATAGAGAGAGTTGCACCATATGTATTGCAACATATATTTAGTATTTTTTCATTGATTATATTTATGTTTCAGTCATCTACAGCTATGATATTTCATGAGCTTATTTAGTTAACAAAATTGACCTACATGTAATAAATACAATTTAAAATCACACAAACCCAGAGTTGAAAGAGCAAAAGTAAAATTTAATCCATTACCTTTGTAATGCCAGGGAGGTCCACTAATGTGAGGTTGACAACATGTGGGGAGAAGATTTTCAGATGAATGGGTTCATTACTAATACCCTAAGAAAAAGAAAGAAATACAGGGGATTTTCACATGAATGCTGATACTTAAAGATTTAAATATAGGTCTTCATTTACATATTTACTTGTGTTAATAATACCTTGTTAATGCCGGAAATTCTTTCCGTTTCCGCTTCAATTTCATGTCTGATTTCCTCAAAGTCTGCGTAGATCTGAAAGGGAAGTGTGATTATGTAAGGTGAGCAAAGTAACAACCAGCGGAGGCACTGCAAGCAGACCTTGTTCAGATTCAGAGAGAAATCCGGGAAAACCCAAATCTATCAGGGGATCATAAAGGCCTCTTTGTTCGGTACCTGGAGCACGACCTATGAGGACATTACCCTGCAGCTATTAGATATTTTTTGCAGTAGATGGGTTGTGCGCCTCCTCTCATTTCAATGATAGACCTAGCTGTAGTCAAGCCCTCCTGCGCCTGTGCCCACATACTCTAATATCCCATGTTTTATTCAGTGCAGAGTAGTGACAGCAACATCCAGTGACTTCAGATTTCTGGCAAAGGACGATGACCCTACCTTGTTCTTGGTGTGTAGGAATTTGCCCCATTCATCTCCCTCGATGCCTGCAGAAAACACAAGTCGAGGACAGATGTTGTGGTCATTGATCTCAAAAACAGTGCAACTATGACAACCAGCCCCTTGTTAAGGTCTCATGGGAGGATTTCTCTACGGGAAAAGATGGGACAGAAAACTCCTCAGAGCAAAGATATGCAGCTGAAGAGTTAAAAATAAATAAATAAAACAGTGCAACAACTCTTGTTCTGGCACGATGGTAATGGAAGCTAATTATAAGCGAAGGCAAAAAAAATAGAAAATAGAGCAAAGGCTAAATGAACAATGTGATCATTTAGCTGCAGTAAACAACATAAAATAAATAGATTAAATAACATGTGTGGAGTCTGTAAGCCATCCAGAGGAAGCTGATCTTTTGACTTTAATGAAGAAGAATTTGTAGAATTATCAAATGGAAAGCGTGTAAAATGCAGCTGCAACCCATTTTTCCTGAGTTCAACTTACAGAGACCAGGGCCTACACTGAGTAAACAAAGCCACATGGTTCAGTAGCTTTTAAAGCAAGCAGCAAGGGACAGGAAAGGCAAAAGAGCTCAGCATATAGGGTAGAGGAGGGGAAGCTGAGGGGGTCATGGCACACAGACACAAAAAGGCAAAGAATAAGGAAAGGGAGACCTCTGGAAAGGCGTCCGTTTTTCTTGGATTCTGCGGTTAAAGAGAGATAACAGGAGAGAAAGGGGTTAACGGGACTATCTGCAGCACCTGCATGCGAACCTACTGCAATGCAGTCAGACAGAGTCACTCAGGTGCCTTTCCCAGAGGACAGCGTTAGAGAAAAAGCAGCAGACCGGTGTATCTCAGCCCCCTGCTTTTTACTGAGGTCTCTTTTTAGGAGCTTATTTGAACAGAAAAGGCTAGAGACTTTCTATCTTATCAGGTGCACATTTAACACTGACAGCGAAACGGTTTAGTTTACGGGATCTTAGAGATGACCAAACTACATGACGGATACAGATGAGGAGGAGAGTGACGTTACCGTTCTCTTCATTGGTTTTCCTGCGGTCTTCGGGGTCGATGTGCACCAGCTGCAGGATGAGGGGCCGACGTGTAACGATGCCAGTGCCACGAGGTAGAAGGTCCCGGCCTACCAGGCTTTCTAAAACTGAGCTCTTACCACTGCTCTGTAATGAGAAAAGCAAAAGTCACCAAACAACAACAACATCGAGACTAAAACATCAATCATGAATCACTGCAGACACAGCCCAAATATGCTATGTCACTATACCTATCAGGCCACTTCTACTGCACTATATCAACAGGCTTCTACTGTATCTGTAGAGAGGGAATTATGGGTCTAAATTTAGCTCCTCTACCATAGCTGGGGGCTCCCAAAAAGTCAATGGAATGCAGTCGGAGCCCACAAGGCAAATGTGGGAGTTCTGACACTTAACCAGACAGGTAACTTTCTCTTAAGGTGTGTCCCAGTTAGTCACACCCACTAAGATCTGATGAACCTGAACACCTCACTTAAAAGGGAATGGTGCTCATTCAATCTACAGGACATGAGGGTTAAAAACTCATAATATAATATCTAACTAAAGTTCTGAATGGCATAACTAAATCTTATTATGGACAAGACTGAGTCTCTTTTATACCTGACATGTCTTACGCCTTTACAGAAGGCATGAGGTATGGGTAAGGAGTGATAAAGTTGACATTTCAAATCAGGTGACTAATAACCTCGGACTCAGACCAAAATGTCTGAGACGGTCACATCCAATTAGCTAACCGGTGGAAAGTAAACCTGTCTGACAAAAGCAGACACTTTAAACCAATTAGACACTGATGTGTACGTATGGCTACGACTCAACATTCAAATCTTTAACAGTTTCTTGACTTGGTCTGTGTTAAATAGTACTTACAGGTGTCTGTGATGTAAACCAGAACGCAGACCCTTCTGTTAGGCTACTCTTTTGTTAAAGATTTTATCAGATTTAGTTACACGTACCACGTCAACGTCAAACTTCTGACATAGCACAGCTAAAGGAATTTTAAACACAAACGAACGGCAGTTGAACTAAGGGCAAGAGGCACGTAACGTCCTGAAAACCGATAAATGTTTATGACAAACAAATATGGATTTTTTTTTAACGGAAAAGACAGCTATCAGATTTCAGTCTGCGGATAAATTATCCTGTCAACTGTCAGCCAAAATCCAGCCAGGTCACATGTAGCTAATGCTAGCTGGTTGATATTTTGGTAAATAACAAAGTCGGAAATTTAGAGCAAAGACAGTCCAGACATTTTAAATAGGTTCCAGGAGTATGGACCGAAAAAAACCCAAAAGCAACGAGCAATAACAATTACTTTGAGCATGCTAACTTGCTAGCGTTTAAGCCAAGAGACGTTTCGCACCTGGGTTCCAACAACAACAATCTGTGGCAGTTGAATAATATCCGCGCCGACTGTGTTAAATACATCTTGTAGTTTGTTTATGACGGGTATGAGGGCCTCCATCAGCTCCGATACAAATCCCAACCTGCCAAATACAAAACTTTCTTCACGTTACCGTATACGGACACAAAGTCATTCAATGTCCCACAGCTAAAGCTACTGGCGACTCTTGGATTTGCCTACAACTGCGCAAAAGGCCGAGGTGCATCATGGGAGTTAGAGTTTGAATGATGCCCACTGAAAACCTGCAGGTCGAGCACTCGAAAAATGCTAAACTACATTTCCTACAGTTGGGACGGCATTCTGTGCCGCACCAATTAAAAGTCTTACAATTATTTATTCACCAACGCAACAGTTACCAAGGATTCATAATATGTTTGTTGTCATGCGCTACATGGTTGTGCGTAGTGGAAGTAGAATTGCCTGTATTGAATGGAATGTTTTATACAGACTTAAACATGAAAGCTAACTGTTAGGATTCCTTGAGAAACGGCCTGACTCGGACATGCAACTGACTTCAGGAACAACAAACAATTGAGGAAACTGCTAAGTTACAATGATTTATTTACACAATTTAAAGTGCAAGTGGTTGTTTTACAACAAAACGCTCATAGAAATAAATATAGTACAACTTTGTCAAGGATAGTAGACATAAAAAGCAAACAGCTGTTCCCTGTCAAACTGCTCAACTGTCTGCATATGCTGAGCACCCATATATATTTATGTCCACATGTAACATGTCTTTGACATTTCAGAAGTTTAACACGCTTGCAATGAGCATTGACAAAAACATATTTACAGCACTTCACTTGTCACATTCTTGAAGAAATGAAAAATTATTTTTGTTATGGAAACTGAGAATTTCTGTCAGCTATCATCTTGCCCTTGAAATGTTAATAACTTTACTTTTGAGATTTCTTATTGACATTTAATACTACAGCTGGGATGAGTTTGGGGGGTGTATGGTTCCAGGTGTCAGAAATCTATGCATGTCAAAAATGTTCCTCTCATTCCCCTGATATGTTCATCTGTGTGGTTGAAGACAGAAAAGTGGCTCCATTATACACAAAAGGAATTTATGTTCATGCCAATGGCTGAGTAAAGTGAAGTATCTAGATATGGTGAAAAGGCACTCTATAAGTGGGAACCAGTTACAATTTATTGTTGGGTGTACCAACAATTTCCCCAATTTAGGAATGTTTTGTCCTCATGACTGTTAGAACTGTTGGGCTATATTTACTCACTTTAGTAATAGGATCAAATCAGGTCATAACAAAGTTATGGTACTGGTCCTCAGTCAGCATAGGGCCATCATTTTTCTACAATTTTCCATTCCATTTCTGAGAGAAGCTGCCTGAAATTAACACAGGAAACATTGCTCAGAAGCTTACACCAACAACAGAAAATAATTAATACATTCATATACAAATCCCAAATCTGGAAACTTGAGTGTCATCTACATCACAGTTAATGTTTTATAGCATTTTAATGCTACTTTATCAGCACCACAGTGTAGTGTCCTGTTGGGATCAATTGAGGTGAGAAGTGATTTCAGGATGCTGTGCAGTCTGTGTATGTGGTCACCATATTTCCTCGGCGCTGGGTCACTGTCCTACAGTGCTGTTTGGATGCACCATTAAACCCACTTTCAGCTTGTTTGGCCTGTCTATCAAAAGTAAACATCTTCTCTATGTCATCATACATATCGTCAAAGATACCTGCTCCAAAACCACTTTGAAAGTGTCTCTTGTGTTTGCTGTGGGGCTCTTTAGGGGACCTGGAGTGTTCTTCAAAGTGTCTTCGGTGACGGGCGTGCCGGTTCTGGCTGTAGATATTGAAGTCTTTAAACATATCATCAAAATTGAAGCTGAAAGTCTGGTGAGAACCTGACTTGTGTCTGTCTTGTGTCTCTCCAGTGAAATGTGTGGTACCACCAAACTGATCATATTCTCTTCTTCTGGTCTCATCAGATAAGACTTCATAAGCTGTACAGGAGACAGAAAGACAGGACTCAATTAATTAAGGAGAAGTCTAGCATGTCAGAGCTATAAAAACAATTATGTTCACAGCCTTTAAAAAGGTTAAGAGGGATCTGTTAATTGACCGATGCAAGTGGTATTAATGGCCTCTCAATCAAAAGCTTAGAAGGGATTCCCCCAATCAATTACACCAGCAGTACACAATTATACAACAAAAGTCCAAGTAAAATAAATGAAAAAAAACACTTACATTTCTAGATATGCTCTTCCATAAAATCTCCCAACATTTGTTTTTGCATCTTTTATGTTTTAATATCACAATGAATAAAATGCTAACATAACTTGTTGTGTATCCATGTTGTAAAATATAATAGACATCAGAGTCAGGGTGCAACATGTTTTCGTTAAACTGTGGAAAACCTTTAATTAGCAGAGTTTGGATCCACTTGTCCCTTTATATTAGGGCCAAATCAGTACAAATAAGAACATTGTCATTATCAAATGATCAAATAATAATAACATAATCCATTCTTAACAACTTTACCTTCAGCAATTTCCCTGAACCTGGCCTCAGCATCAGGGCTCTTGTTCTTATCTGGGTGATATTTCATGGCGAGCTTGTGGAAAGCCTTTTTAATCTGTCGCTCTGTGGCACCTTTGGGCACTCCCAGTATTTCATAGTAGTACTTCTTGGCCAGGATCAGCTCAGTTATCACGAGGATGCACACTGCAAACGTTAGGACAGATTGTGCAGCTGCCATCGCTCCTCTGCTCCCTGCATTTGAAACACAAAACCAAGAGTTGATATGGAGTATGCATTCAAATACCATTAAATGAGCAACACAGCTCAGCTAAATTGAATGAGACGTTCTTTAAATTTAAAACAAAAATATATATCTATATTTCTATTCTTTTTTATAGAAAAAAATATGTTTTTTTTCTTTGTCGAGCATGACATTAATTTAGGCTCTCTTAAATGTCAAACTGCCATTATTCTTCATTGGTCAATGTTGAAGCTGAGATGAATTTCGTCATGGTTATGTTACATATGCATCTCTCTAAACATTAGCTAACAGAAGCTAGTGTCCTAACAGACTCGTCTCCACCAGTCGCAAACCACCTACCTTTTGGGGGACTTGGTTGTGTCTCCTTTATCACTTGCACTAGGTTTAGCTATTTAACCAACTCCAAACATATTGATTTTACTTTAACGTCCGTACCACCGATGGATAACAGTCGAAAACCGGTTAATTTTCGTTTCTTCTTCGCTTCTTCACAGAAACTACGGTGAGCAGAGGCAGCAGGGGTCGGTCGCCCCCTGGTGGCCACTGCTGTTGTTACTTCTATGTCTGTCGGATCATCAACGGTGAACACCGGGTTTCACTGTCAACACCAGTAAGTATCAGGGAATCTATGGCATAAGAGCACATATAATGACAGCTCTTGATAACATTTCTATTGATCTTATCCTATTAAACTAACTTACTTGTCCTCCTGTGGACCCTGTTTATCAAAGTATGTTGTGTTTGAAACATATTTTAATTGGGACAGTTTGTGATTTTCGAAAACTGCCAAACTGACTTCTTTGGATCACCTTTCGCCGTAACAGCGATATTACATTCCAAGAGCAAATGTTTGACTTACGACCAACATTATGCCTTTAGTACCATTTCAAAGTATAGACCCAATACTTGCTCAAGCTGCTTGCTCTTTGTCACAATAAATGTAATAATTTGAACTACTATGTAACATGAGAGGGATTTAAAATTTGGGATCCTTCAAAAGTGTATTGAAATAAAGACATTGCAGTACAAGATTCTCGTTTCATAATATTGTACTTGGAGGGTCACTGTACCCGCTTGCCTTTTCACAGCGTGCGGGGCTTGTTTGTATTGAATGTCCTCAGCCAATCAGCAGATCCCATTTATGGGTCAAGTTTTAGTCAGCCAATGCTAAGGTAGATAGAGAATCACATGGTCGTTGTTTTTCTAGCGACCGTCACCATCTCGTCATTCTGGAAATTGTCAGGTCGAAAGTACCATTACACAACCCGAGCAATGCTAAGCGTCTGTGTTTTTGTTAAGGAAGAAGACTACACAATGAAACAATGAAAGGACCCCGGACTGTGTTGAAACGACATTACAAAGAGATCGGTATGACGTGTTAAGCTTCGTATGGCCCTTTGTATGCTAACCATGTAGCTAGCTGCGCTAAGCTAGTTCCCGGCTCATCAATTTTGTTGTACATGTGAGGTTGTTTATGTGTACAGGTATAAGGAGAAACATAAAACTGTTTGTTGTGATCAAACTGAATAACATTTACACGTCGGATACATTAACCATTTCTATCTGTTTACATTTCGAGTCTCAAAATGTCTTTTTTCTCACTTTTCTGTTACCGTCCTTTCATTGTTTTTACAGTTGTATTGTCTGTCTGTTTGTCTTTTGTTGTTCATTACCAGGTTATTGACAAATGACAGAGGGAACGTAGCAGTAACATTTCTCTGGATGGCTTAAACCTTCCTGCTCTGAAAGACTATGAATCATAGATGGGCTCCACATACCTGGGTGAAAATAAGCAGAGCTCCCCTTATCTGGCAGCTCCATGCTCACAAGTCGGCACCATCACTTCCCTTGTCTTGTCCTTCTCACTGTAGGATTCATGTGCAGCGCCCCGCTTCCTGCAACACTGACTATCTCAGCTTGAAGCAGGGTCATCAACTGAGGATCAGAAGCCGAAAGGGATGGATATTTAGAGCTAACCAGGTTAGGCAGCGGCTGGGAATCCACACCAGCTCCTTGTACTTGAACACCTCGGCCTCGCGGTGGTCTGCTGGTCTAAGCCAACAGATGTCGCGAGTGAAAAACACCCTGGACACAGTGACTAAAGCTGTGAGTGGGACAGAAATTCTGTCCAAAATCACCCGGCTCAAGCCAAACACCATGAAGGCCGTGAAAAAGGCTGAGGCTGTGAGTGAATCGGTCCCAAATGTTGAGTCTACTCCTGCTCCTGCAGACGGTGCTCCTGTTCCTTCTCCATCCACAGCACCCAAACCTGTTATAAACTCATCCCCCACAAGTCAATCTGTTTCCACAATTTCTACAAATTCTGCTACCTCCTCTCAGCCTCAGAGTTCTCCCCAAGTCACGGCCGCTGCTGCCAGCCTGGCTCTGCGTGAAGCTCGGCAGAAGAGGCCCAAACGCATTGTTCCGGCCATCAAAGCTAGCTCTACCAAGAAAGCCGAGGAGCCTCCTCCGTCAGCGGTGAAGAAAGGCCCGCAGAGAGACACTGAGAGTCAGAGCACAACCTCTAAAGAAACTACGCCACTTTTCCACCCAAGCAACTTTTCAGCCAGCCTGGATGAAACTTACACTTACCTGGCTCATCACATCAACTCATACTTCGGCAGCAGTACAAAAGCGCAGGATAAGAAGGGGGACGACATTGACAAATTCTCTACTTCCTCTCAGGCTCAACAAACCTCAGAACTCGTGCCGGTGTCTGACAAAAGAGACCCCGTTGCCACGGTCAACCCATCCTCTTTCAAGAAGGGTTTGGGACAGTACCTGTCCTACTCGGCTCCCACTGTGCAGGCTTTTGTTGGAAACTACATTGCTCCTCTTGTCCCAAAGTTCAGGAAAGGAGAGATCAAAAGTGCTGTGGTAGAGGAGAAGAAGCTTGAGGACTTGTCGGTAAAACCGGTTGAGGCAGCAGTCAGTAAAGAACAGGGGGCCGCTGAGGACAAAGCCAAGAAACTCATGCTCCAGCGGGAAAAGGTGGGTGTGCGGCAACACTGTCCATGTAAACATTTGATTTTATTGTGGTTGGCATTCAAGTTCTATCTACATAGCTGTGTCTGTTGGTAAGATAAACATGTTGTGCATTAGAAACATTAGTGGGTATATAGCAGGATGCTATTCACACACGTACACAGACCAGCGTCTGTACATGCTGTCTAAGTTCTGGGAATCTGAGTTTAAAAATAACTCCCTTGAGTCATCTGAGGTCCCCAAAAGGTGCACACTCTATGTTGTGGAGTCTTGAAAACATGAGATCACCAGTTTAAAGGCAAAAATATGAGTGCACCGTCGCATTCAGCTTTTTAGGAAATACCAGTCACACCATTACTGAGCTGCACATTTATTAGATTTGGTCAGCCCTCACAGTAAATTTGAGCTCATGTTTGCTTAATTTTTCACGTAAAAAAGAAACTAAAACGTTATCAAAGTCTTTTAATAAATGTTTAAAGTATTTAAACATTTTAAGGGTTTCTAAAGTTAATTGAATGGTCCAACCGTTACTTGTTATTAGAAGGGATTTTGCCCTAATTAAATGAGAATCAAAGAGAGTAATAGTTTTTTTGTATTTTTTTAATATGACATTGCAATCCTCCTACACCAGACGCGAGAAGTAAAAGTATGTCAGAGAGATGGACAAATATGTTACATCTGGGCAGACGCTGAGTGGATCACAGCATAGAAGCTGGTGCTCGGTCAACTTTCAGCATATATTGAACTAAAACCTCTATGTATTTATTCATTTTTATTTAATTTTGTTAGATTATTGCCAGGGTGAGTGTGGACAACAGAACTCGGGGATTGGTCCAGGCCCTCCAGCGGGCCTCAGATGTCAGGGTGTACATCAGCCGGGTGGAGGACTTCAGTTACCACCTGTTGGAGTTTCCTGAGACCCGCATTGTTGCTGTGAAGGTGAGAAATCGAAACCATATTAATGTCTGTGCTCACAGTCCTTCCTCTTAAAAACATGAGATTATTTAAAGCAAGAATGGAATTTAAAGTCTTGCCTACCTGTGTATCCACTGGTGTGAGTGGGTGAATTACATGTAGCGTGAAACACTTTAAATGGTCAATTCAAGAGAGTTGTTAAAGAGCTGTAGAATGTGAATAACACGGATGGTGGAGAGAAGTTATGCAGATTTTCTTTTCTATCCTTTTCAGTCGGGGTAAGTTAATTTAGGCTGCCACAACTGCAAACCTGATCCCAATACTAAGCTATATTCCCAATAACCAGTATTCTGGGGAAAAAAGTGGAAAAAGGCAACATCAAAAGTCCTCAAAAACATAAAAGTTTTGTATGTAACTCTGCCCCAGGGCACCTTAAGGCAGTTTCAGACTTCGAAATGGGCATGATGAAAGTCACTGTCCTTCAAAATGAGCTGAAAACACTACCGTTTCAGGATCAAAAAGTATATCTGGTAAAAAAAAAAAGGTAACTGTTCAGCCTTTACCCCTGATATTTATTAATGATGATGACGATGATGATCAAAAGGACTGAATGTGAATGTTCTGAGGATGTTTGAAAATCTGGTGTCACTTTCATCAAGCTCTTATTGTTCTGTTTTCTGGTGGCTCTCATTTAGTGTCATCAACAGCAGCATTAAGGAAGACGGTGGCTTCATGTTCTGAACTTCATTATGGTTTTGGTCTCTGACAGAATTTGCTTTCTGATTCACGACATTCAAACGCTACAGGAATTCAGTATTGGAAAAGATTAATTTATTTTTCAATAAAAGATAAGCTCATCTTAAATGATAATCTTCATCAAATAGTACTTTGTTTGACTTTCACCATTTGAAAGTTTTCTTCTTTCTATTCAGAATTACCTAGTGTCAGATTGAAGTCATCTGTAAATGTCCCGCCTCATTATGATGATCAGAAGCATTTTTGTTGTTTGTTTTTGCTCCACAGGAGAAAGTTATCCCTAGTCTTCTTCGTCTGAAGCAGGCCAGGGACCCGGGCTTGAGGGCAGCAGTCCGAGAAGCTCTTGCGTTAGTCGGATATCAGGAGCCGGTTCGAGGTCGCGGCATACGGATTTTATCCATAGACGGCGGGGGCTTAAGGTTGTTTATTTTTTCTCCCATCTGTACTGTTACATATGAGTCCTCTGTATGATTGATCTAACAGTATCTCTGTGTTGGTTGCTATTCTTATAGGGGACTTCTCGCTCTTCAGACCTTAAGCAAGCTGGAGGCTATGACTGGCAAACCTATTTACAAACTCTTCGACTATATCTGCGGTGTCAGCACAGGTATGCCATCCTCCTGCCCCACTTGTGTGTATGCAGACAGAAGCATGTGTGTGGATTACCAGCGCAGACGGGACTGAGTGGCACAGTGCGGGCTGGGCTGGCAGCAGACATCGCTCGCTGACCCATTTGTTGCTCTGCGTTTGTTTTGACCTAGATTTCACCAGCTCCATCTCTCACGTCGGCCCCGCTGCTTTTATACTTGAGCTGGGTCAAATACGAGCTAATACATTAATGTGACGACAGGTGCATTTTTCCACCCCGTGTGTGTTTTTAGGAATTGACAGATGG